GTTTTTTGGGGGGTTCGTTTTTTTCTTGTTCTGATTGTTTTCTGCTTCCTTAGGTTCCAAATCATTGATTTGATTCTTGGGCTTCATTTGCTCTACTGTGGTTTACCTGTAAATTGTTCCTCTCCATGGAGAATCAGTTCTGAAGGCGCAGGGTGATGGTGCTGCAATGTGCTCTAGCTGTCCACTGGGTGCGCAGGCTCTGTGGTTTCTTGGGCGGTGCAGGCCAGGTCTGCCCACACCTGTGTTTTGCCCAGGACCATCCTTCCTGAGCTATAAAGTAATCTGAAATGGCTGCTACTTGTGCTGGGTTTGGAGATTCCCACAAGAAGCCAAGCTGTGAATCTAGGCTGGTGCTGCTAGTGCCGGGCCTGGGACCACTTAGCAAGAGGTATGGGGGGCTGGGGGCTCACTGAGGTTGGCTGTTGCTGGTTTGAGGGCATTTAGGAAGTTGTGAAGCATGAGCCAAGACCAGCTATTCATGTAGAAAAAGCAGTTTGTGTGGGCCCATTAAGTTGGGTGGCATGGAGTCTCTGGGGAATCTCCTGTTAGCCAGGTTGGAGTCTCAGGTACAGCACTAGCCTGCTGGCTTGGTGGGTCTGTCAGGGGAGGGTTCATAAAAGGGACAGTGGCCTTTGCCTGGCTTTCTGCCTGGGAGAAAGCTGTCCCCGAGCTTTCGCCTTGATGTCAGACACTTCAGTTCCTTCCTGTGTGGCACTGGTGCCCTTCAAGCTGCTACCTCAGTGCTGGAGCTCAGAGGGAGTGAGTCTAAGTCCGTGAGAGGTTTTTTAAAGGAAGTGCTTGGGACTTCAGGAGTTTCTTCCACTGACTCAGTCCCTGCTGGTTTTGGCAGCCAAAAGTTACGGGGGCTTATCTTCCCGGCTCTGGAAACCTGGGCTGAGGGGGCTGGGTGCAGAGCTGGGACTCCTTACTGCTGAGATATCCCTCCCAAATTTTCATCCACCACATTTGGATGTGGGACCAGCCTGTTCTGCATCTCCACCCCTCCTACCAGTCTGGGTGGATGCAGTTTCTTTAATCCTGTAGTTGTCAGACTTCCACTCAACTCGATTTTTGGCGGTTCTGATGGTTGTTCTATAATTTAGTTGTAATTCTGATGTGGTTTGTGAAGAGGTGAGCTATGTTTACCTATGCCACCATCTTAACCGGAAGTTTATTGTCTCTTTCTTCTCTCGTCCTAGCAGTGTTCTGTACATAATAAATGTTCAGTAATAACTAAGATAGGAACCTATAAACCAGTGCAGCTGGGAATGTTTTTCTTTTGAAAACTTGTGTGGGAACATTAAATCCCCAAAATGTCCTTACCTTGAATCCCCATAATAATTAAGGTACTTAAAAATATTCTCATAATTTGATTTTTTGACATCAGTGGGAAAGACCTGGCTTCTGACTCTCAAAATTATACAACTGAAATTAGAATTTCTGGGGATGGGTATATTAATGTTTAACATACATTTCAAAGAATAAAAAGCCACTGCCCAACTATATAATTTGAGGACCAGAGAAAATGGCATGCTAAATTATTTTTGAGTCATTCATATTTCAATTGAGGTAAACAAGGGGGAAAAGTTTCACTACAATTCTTCAAAGGACTTTTAATGAAATGTGATTTTTAAACTTTCATCTTGCACTGTGGTTCTCAGCCTTCCACACCAAGTCCTTGATGAAATTTTCACCAAAGGAGAAATTGGAAAATAAGGTAATATGGTTATTTTTTCAAAAGCTAGGTTTGTTCACTTTTTTAAAGAGTATTGTTGCTCTAAGGTGGTAAGATTGTGCTTGACTTTCTTTTTAGTACTAAAGTGTTATCTTATTTTTTTAAGAGGTGAAAGTAGATGGTGGCAGTTTGAGAAGTGTTGAGTTGGCAAAAGTCAGTCTCTTACGTCAATCCCTAAAATGCATTTGTTCATGAAATCCCAATGTCTAGAAAGTGCTTCCATACACTTATAGACTTATTTTTCTGTCTAGGAGGGCACTCAGGGATTCCAGAGAGGCGGTTAGAAATGTATATTTGTTGAGTACAGCTATTGGGTACGCACTAACCTTCACACAAACACAACTTCTCAATAAATCTTCACAATTTCAGGTACGTATACTCGTATTATGATTAAGGAAATGGAAATTAGTATAGGATAGCTTGCCAAAGGAATATGCTAATAGACGGAACCAAATCCAAGTTTGTCTTATTCTAGAATCTGTGCTCTTTCCTAGAATACCATACTACTTACTATAATGAGTTTCTAATATTTATTTTTGGGAAGGATACTGTTTAGCTTTTCTTTGTATACATCTTGATGCTACCTTTTCAAATTCACTGACTGACTTGTTACTTCGCAGTGTATTTATATAGTGATAGCAAGCACTTAAAAACTAAACTTACAAATGTCAGTGTTATTGTTTTAAGTTGGCATCCCAATTATTTTTTCCCTCTGCTTTATTCCCCTCCCCCCTGCTCCTCCCATCCCACCAGCATTTCCTGCCTCCTTAGTTCAAGTCCATGGGTTGTACATATAAGTTCTTCGGCTTCTCCATTTCCTATACTTTTCTTAACCTCCCCCTGACTGTTTTGTACCTACCATTTATGCTTCTTATTCCCTATACATTTTCTTCCATTATCCCCTCTCCCCTTCCCCTCTGATCTCCATTTCTGTGATTCTGTTCCTGGTTCTAGTTGTTCACTTAGTTTGTTTTCGCTTTTTTTTTTTTAGGTTCAGTTGTTGACAGTTGTGAGTTTGTTGTCATTTCACTGCTCATAGTTTTTAATCTTTTTTTTCTTAAGTCCCTTTAACATTTCAATTAATAAGGGCTTGGTGATGATGAACTCCTTTAACTTTACTTTATCTGGGAAGCACTATATCTGCCCTTCCATTCTAAATGATAGCTTTGCTGGATAGAGTAATCTTGGGTCGTAGGCCCTTGGCTTTCATAACTTTGAATACTTCTTTCTAGCCTTTCCTTGCCTGCAAGGTTTCTTCTGAGAAATCAGCTGATAATCTTATGGGAACTCCTTTGTAGGCAACTCTCTCCTTATCTTTAATTTTGGATACTGTAATTATGATGTGTCGTCTTGTTTGTTTCCTTGGGTTGAACTTCTTTGGGACTCTCTGACTTCCTGGATCTTCTAGAAGTCTGTTTCCTTCATCAAATTGGGGAAGTTCTCCTTTTTTGTTCAAGTAAGTTTTCAATTTCTTGCTCTTCTACTTCTCCTGGCACCCCTATGATTTGGATGTTGGATCATTTCAAGTTGTCCCGGAGGTTCCTAACCCTCTCCTCAATTTTTATGAATTCTTGTTTCTTCATTCTGTTCCAGTTGAATGTTTATCTCTTCCTTCTGCTACAAATCATTGAGTCCCACTTTCCTTCCCTTTACTGTTGGTTCCCTTTGTATTTTTCTTTATTTCACTTTGCATAACCTTCACTTTTTCCTCCATTTTGCGACCATACTCAACCATCCCTGTGAGCATCCTGATTACTAATGTTTTGAGCTGTGCATCTGATAGTTCGGCTATCTCTTCATCACTTAGTTCTATTTTGGGGGCTTTGATCTGTTCTTTCATTTGGGCCTTATTTCCTTGTCTCAGCATACCTGTTATGTTAGAAGGGGCAGAGCGTTAGGTATTCACCAGGGTAGTGCAACTTACGTTGCTGTGTTGTGACGCTGTGTGGGGGAGGGGGTCTGAGTGGGAACAATGCTGCTTGCTGGGCTCTCAGTCAGTTTTCAGTTACCTCCCCTGTGACCTACAAGCAAACTGGGCCCTTCTGGTGCTGAATGCTGGGTGGGTGGTTTGTGTATGTTCTGGGATCCTGTTGGTCTCACCAATGAACTCTCCTGTGAGGCTGGGAGTTTCTCCCACAGCCACAACCGCCATAGGTTTTCATAGAGAGTGGTTTTGAGGCTTTCTTTTCCTTCACTGGAACCCTGGGTTTCATGGTCTGTTGCTCTCCCCACCTGTTCCTCCTGGTTCATCCGCACGCCAAGTGTGGGTCTGCCCAGTCAGCCAGGCCAGTCCTCCAGCTGCCACCTTGCTGTGCATACTCTCCGCCCCTCCTACCAGTCTGGATGAATGTTTCTTCCTTAATGCCTTCATTGTCGTACTTCCATACAGTTCGGTTTTCTGGCAATTCTGGTTATTTTTTGTTTTTAAATTTGTTGTCCTCCTTCTGGTTGTGCGAGGAGACAAAGTATATCTATCTCCGCCTCCGTCTTGGCCGGAAGTCTGGAAATACCTGTTTTTGGCCTTTTTTGTTCAACAAACAGCACAAAACCTATCAGGAAATAGTCATCTGGCAATGCCCCAATTATCTAGAGTTGAAATGACCAGCACCACAACAGACTACAAGTCCTCCTCAGGCAGAAGTCAGCAAAAGCTGAGCTATCTCTATGATCTATGGACATCGAGTTCTTCGAAACACTATAGCAATCCAGATCTTGAGACAAGGAACTGACTGGTTAGAAAGCCAATGGCATGACAACTCCTTCTGTCCGGTAGAGCAAAGAAGAGTGAGCAGACAGAGATGGGGGCAGGGGAGTGAACAGAGGGGAGAGGAGTGTTGCACTGGCAGGAGGAAGAAAGCAGCAAAGGGGTAAAACCCAGGCAAACAGTATGCAATTAACGAGAAAACCACTCCAAGACCATGCTTATTAACAAGGACGTGATCATGGCTCCCCAGCTTCTGACATACTGAAAACAAATGTACAATAGCAAAGGACATATAAGCAGATAGATAAACTCCGTAATGTTCATTTAGAACCAGAATTAAAATTTCTTTTTTTGGTAAAGGTAGCTAGCTAATGTATTATGGGATTGCGAGTCGGATCTTCTGTTTTCTAGAGATCAAATTATAAAACCAGACTGTTATTTTTACCTTTCTCAAATTACCAAAGTCATCTCAAAATAAAGTCACATGTTTAACCAGTGTTGGCAACCAACTTTTAATAAACTATTTAATTTTCAGAAACATATGCTAACCATCAACAACATTATCAGGGTGCCATTGCCCCAGATGTTATTTCATTGGTACATTATATCAATATTTGCAAAGGCTTTCAAATTCAACAACACAAAACAAAACGGCTTAGTTTTTAAAACTACAATGCTTTAAAAAAATGTAAACAGTTCATTTTTACATTATTGTAAAAAAGAAGACTCACTCCTTAATGTGGCTTAATTTTTTTTAAGTGAGCAAAGCCTGGTGCTCATGGATAAAGAATGAAAAAAATTCTTTACATAGAAACATTGTGCTCCAGTGTGGCAAAAAAAATTATATATACACATACAAAGAAAAGAATCTTAAGTCCACAAGTTAGACCACAAGAAAAATCTTGTCCCCAAATTGAGAAATTTATAAAAACCATTTACCCATGGTTGTTGACCTATTGAAAACCTATATAACATTTTTAAAACAATAACTCAGTCAAAAGATACCACTTTTTTAAAAAATGAAATCTTGTGCAAAAGAAATTGTTTAAGCTAGAAACAAGACTCCTTCCCCAATAAGAGGCCAAATGAGCCATTGAAATAATTTAATTTTGTTAAGATTTAGTGCATGTAACCAAAAGGCACACACACGGGATTAATATATTAATATATTTTCATGCAGAAACCTGTGCAAGTTCACAATTATATAACAAAAACACAAATATAACAAAATGTAAAGCCTAATGTCTGGCAATGTTATTCTAGCCACATTCCCTTCTAGTCTGTCAGTCCAGGGTTAACTAGATCATTAACACTGCCTCTCAAAAAATATATTATATTTGAACAACTTCCAACAAAAATTAAAAAAAAAAAAGATGTTAGCCTGTGAAACACTATAATATTTTTTTCAGTTCTGATACATATAGAAACTTACTGATATGTTTATTTTAAATGACATTTCAAATTAAGATACATTTTTCCTTTTGTTAATAAACACTTTGATTGCTCCAGTGAAGTCAGCAGAGAGAAGAACTTCTGTGTTATCTGTCTTCGTAATACCTTAAAAATATAGAAAATATTTTTAGTTGATTTAAAAGGATTATGAAGCCAACTGTCACAACCGTCACATGCCCATGACCTTTAAGACCTCCTCTCTGCCTCTCAGGTCTCTCTTTCCTGGCTCAATCCTGCAACCCTTTCATCCTCCTGTACCTCTCCTCCCCTCTGAGGCTCACTTCCACTTACCTTGTCTTAGCTGGTCTTTTGCTGGCTTGAGTAGATTACAGTCCTTGGGGATTTACTCCCAGGCAGCCTAGGCCTCTAAGGCATCTAATGCTTCATTTTATGGCAAGACAGGATCAGCTGGGCAAGTCTAGTGCTAACAGGGTTCTCTAGTGAGGTTGACAGTAAGGTTTATCGTCTAGCAGACATACAGAAACTGCCATGAAATGAAGCACACATGATCGATCAGTGACTGCTGACAGCACCTTTTCCCTCGACAGTCCATATTGAAGAGCTATGTAACTAGCCATGATGAATGGAAAAAAACTCTTACCTCTTATATTTAGGAGTAAAAGCAACTGTCTTTTACTCCTAAAAAAAAGCAATATTTAGGATTTAACAAACAAAATCCAGTGTGAATTAACTCTACTATGCACAGGCAAAATTTGTGGATTTAAGGACTGAATAGTAAGGAAGAAAATAATATAAAGTTTAACAGTAAAGTTGTGTAAAGGATGAATTAGACAAAATGGTGTCAGTTAGATTTGTCAAAACATATCTAAGCCTTCGAACATCCCTTCATACCCTTTCAGCATATCTCCAAGTAGTGCTATGCAGCAAAAGCAGAAGCAAGGCATTTAGGGATATGAGAAAGGCTAGATAAAAAAGTAATTCATCATACAATAACAACGAAGATGACAATGATAATGTCGACCAGATGTCAGGCTTTTTGCTAGGTACTTGACATATGTTATCTTCAATTCTTATGACAACTTGGTAAACTGGGTGTTATCACCATTTTACACATGAGGAAAATTGACACTTACAGTGTCCAATATATCAGGAATAAAGAGGGAGAGAAATCAGATATATTTTATATCATATCCTGCACTTCAGATTTTATTCTTAGATTATATCTAGATAGGTACAAAATAGCAAACACAAATTTGAGTATGACCCATTAAAAGTTGTGGCTCTTTAAAAAGAAGTTTAAAGAAAAGAACTTCTCATTTTTCCTCAAATTGTTTAAAAACTAGAATTTTCTGTGAACTGTGTAGGGAAATTGTGTAGACTGTTAAAAGATATCAATGGGGAAAAAGAAAAGGGAAAGAAAAAAATGGCTTAAGTTAGAAGAGAGAAGCTGGATTTGATTTGGAGGGAAAAAAAATGAAAATAAAGATTTCCAAACAGGCATTTCATAAAGGTTTAGTAATTCTGAGTAGTTTTATTTTTAAATCCTGTAATTTAAAGAGGTGCTAGACTGAAGTTCATCTTTGCTATCAAAATTTTCTTAACAGACAGTAGAAACAGTATATTAGAATAGTGTATAGTGTGGATACCACCACAGGAGAAATTACTGGAGATTAAAGAAAATAAAAATACTTGAGAAGCATTCAAATACTTTTAGAAGTGTCTTTTGTATACTGTATCTATTTTTGTGGTCTTACAACTCTCTAAAAGGCCTGGTTGCAGCCTCTAAAGTGAGAAAACACATTTAATGGATTATTCTGCAAGTGATTTTAATAATACAAACTTGTTTCCATTAATGACTGGTCCAAATTTACATGATTTTTACCATATTCTTAAGGACTACTTTTTACATAAGTCACATTTAATATTATATGATGGTTTCTTTTTAATTCCTAATCTGAGCATTTTACAGAAGTGGAATTAGTACTCATTCTCAAAGCATATGCTGCAAATGAAAAAAAAATTACAGGCTTGTAAATAGCTACCTAAAAGAAGCTATAAATCTGTAGCAAGTACAGAAAAAACTGCTTTCATTTTGGTTTAATTCATTTATTTGGCAATGTTTAGTAAGCAGCTACTACATAAAGGCAAGTACTGTGCTAGGCACTGGCACTACAACCAATAAGACATATAAAGTCTCTGTCTCCACAGAAATCACAGTCTAGTAGAAGGAACAAAGAATAAATTTTGTATTATTTGTATGTCTTTGTTTACCTTTCTCCAAGGAGAACAGTTGCCCATAAAAGAAATTAAGAACTTCCAAAATTTTCATTTTTAATTCCTGGGTGAATTTTATAAGCATAACACTTGCAAAAACCATGTCACTGAAATGTTCAGAAATTGATATCTGATAATAATTATATTGTAAACAAAAATATTTTCATACTTATGAAAACTTCATAATACTCAATGCTAGGTCAATTAGGCTACTAAATGCCGACTAGAAGAAATGTAGGACAAATAAAATAAGAGTACCTACCAGAGGACATGGTATCTAAAACTTCAGCATCTTCGCTTTCTGATTTTTCAGATTGCACATCTAAAGACAACATCAAACTTGGGTTTGGAGCAAAGATGGCCGATGTAACAACTGCATTATGTGCTGGGGAAAAAATTTACTTTAGGACAACTGATAAATTTGATTCTAAACGTCAAGACAGTAAAATATGGCCCTAGATGGTGTGGCTCAGTGGACTGACTGCTGGCCTGTGAACCAAAGGGTTGCTGGTTCGATTCCCAGTCAGGGCTCATGCCTGAGTTGTAGGCCAGGTCCCCAGGAGGGGGCGTGTGAGAGGCAACCACACATTTATGTCTCTCTCCCTCTCTCTCTCTCCCTCCCTTACTCTCTCTCTAAAAATAAATAAATAAAATCTTTTACAACCAAGTTTAAAAAAGACAGTAAAGTATGCAAAAAATACAATAGTGTATGTTACATGCAAAATATCTTTTAAAACTAACATATAAATGACTAAGAACTAGTTAAAACCCAAAAATATTTTCTAAACTAATACCAAATACAGGTTCTGAGATCCCATGACTTCTCAAATTTTACACAAGTTCCTCCTTGGTATAGAAAAATCCAAGAAAGCCAAATACAAAGCAAAAGCAGTTATAATTGCCTCTTTCAAATAATGCCTATACAAATGTGCTTCTAGTATATCTGCATTTGAAATTTATTCACTTTAACTTTATTCACTTATAAATAAATGCACAAAAGTAGGCATTTACTTACCTTTAATACCTTCCCAAAAGTCATTACGATCTCTTCTGACTGAAGTAAACTTGCTTAGGTCATGGTAAGTGCTCCAGATATAAACATACTTATCTTCTGAGCCACTAACGAGGTAACTAAAATCATGGCTAAATTTGGATAAAGAAAAGGAAAAAAACTCAGTTTTTTTTTAAAGGTTTGCCTTTATCAGAGCTTCCTTGTTTAAAAAGCCTAAGAAAACACCCAAGAGAACTCGTTGAAATATAGACTCCTGGTCTCACACCAGAGGTTATGACTGCGTAGGTTTGACATGGGAGCCAGAGGCATTAGTATTTTCATCAAAGCTCTAGGTTACTGTGCTACTGGCTAACCCACAGTGGGAGGAAAGCCTCCTTAATAGATGAGAGAAATGGAGTATTTTACCAATTAAATCACTGGGTAATTACAGTAGTCCCTCACCCTTTTCCACAGGGGGTATGTTTCAAGACCCCCTGAATCACAGAAAGTACCAAATGCATATACCAAAGGGGTATCATAAGACTACAGTGGAGTGGAAAATTTTCTATTGCCCAGTGACACTTCCACTATTGTAATGTCTTAGTGCTATGAATTACTCATGTTTGTGATGTTGGCATAAACAGACCTACTGCACTGTCTATAAAACTATAGCACACACGATTATGTACAGTATCTAACACTTGATATTGATAATAAACAACTATGTCACTGAGTTATTATTTACGTTAGAGTGTAGTCTTTCTACACATAAAAGGCTCAACTACAAGAGGAGTGTGTACTGAGCCCACACAAAAAGACATGGCACAAATGAAAGAACAGATCAAAATTCCAGAAAAAGAACTAAACAAAATGGAGGTAAGCAACCTATGAGATGCAGAACTCTAAACACTGGTTATTAGGATGCTCAAGGAACTTAGTGAGGACCTTAACAGCATAAAAAAGACCCAGGCAGAAACAAAGGATATACTAATTGAAATAAGGAACAGTTTACTGGGAAACAACAGTAGAGTGGATGAAGCCAAGAATCAAACCAATGATTTGGAACATAAGGAATCAAAAAACCACCAATCAGAACAAGAAAAACAAAGAATCCAAAAAAAAAAAAAAAAACAACCCCCAAAACCAAGAACAGTGTAAGCAGCCTCTGGGGCAACTTCAAGAGGTCCAACGTTCACATCAAAATGGTGCCAGAAGGAGAAGAGAAAGAGTAAGAAATTGGAAATCTATTTGAAAAAATAATGAGAAGAAACTTCCCTAATTTGGTGAAGGAAAGAGACATGCAAATCCAGGAAGCACAGAGTCCCAAACAAGATGGATGCAAGGAGGCCCACTCTAAGACAATCGTGCTAAATGTTAAAGAGAGAATCTTAAAAGCCACAAGACAAAAGCAGTTAGTTATCTACAGGGGAGTTCCTGTAAGACTGTCAGCTGATTTCTCAAAAGAAACTTTGCAGGCTAGAAGGGATTGGCAAGAAATATTCAACATCATGAAAATAGGGAGCTACAGCCAAGATTGCTCTACCCAGCAAAGATACTTAGAATTGAAGGGTACATAAAAAGCTTCCCAGACAAGAAAAAAAAATAACAGAATTCATTATCACCAAACAATTATTATATGAAATGTTATAGGGACTTATTTAAGAAAAATGTCAAAACTATGAACAATAAAATGGCAATAAATACATACCTATCAACAACTGAATCTAAAAAACAAACTGAGCAAACAAGAAGAACAGAGACAGAATCACAGAGCATTTTGATGGTTGCCAGATGGGAGGGAGAGGGGTGAAGAGGTGAAGGGATAAAGAAATACAAATAGGGCCTTGGCTGGTGTGGCTCAGTGGCTTGAGTGCTGGCCTGTGAACCAGAGGGCTGCTGGTTCGGTTCCCAGTCAGGGCATATGCCTGGGTTGCAGGCCAGGTCCCCAGTAGAGGGAGTGCGAGAGGCAACCGCACAATGATGTTCTCTCCCTCTCTTTCTCCCTTCCTTCCCCTCTGTCTAAAAATAAATAAAATCTTAAAACAAAAAAAAAATACAAAGAGGCAGTCACTGAATAGCCATGGGGATATAAAGTACAGTAGAGGAAATGGAGTCACTAAAGAACTTATACTCATGACCCATGGACATGAACAATGATGTGGGGACTGCTGAGGGAGTGGGGGTGCTGGGTTGAGGGTGGCAAAGGGGGAAAAACTGGGACCACTGTAATAGCACAATCAATGAAATATAACGAAAATACCTTATTGTAGTGCACATACAGCATAGATATGCTCAACAAAGATATGATTCCCATCCTGGGTGGGGTGGCACAGGACTTTATCATGCTACCCTCAATGGCATGTGTTTTAAAACTTAAGAACTGTTTACTTCTGAAATTTTCCATTTAATATTTTTGGACTATGGTTCACCATGTGTAACTGAAACTGAGGGAAGCAAGACCAGGAATAAATGGGGGCCTACTGTAGTAGGTAATTACAGAAGACAGGAGAACTGACAAGAAAAAGGACTTAAAGAAAGAAGGTTATAAAAGAGAAGAGGCTGGTAATTCAGAAGAGCCTCCAGACCCCTAGAGTTCAAATGATAATGATATGTAAAGGTGCAGACACAGGACACTCTACTTCAGGGTGTAAAATGCTTTGTTAGCTTTTGTACTTAAAAGGTTCAAGAGCGTAAGTGGGGTAGGTGGTAAACTGCCTCTAAAAAACCTTACATAAAAGTACAACAGCACAAACTCTGGAGCCGGGAGTCTTCTAATCCTGGCTCCATATTGACAGGTGTGACTTTGGGCAAATTACTTAATTTTATGGGTCTTGGTTTCTTCATCTGCAGAATAGGGGTAATTGTATCTATCACAGAGGTGGATATGGTTAAGTACTGCATAATGATAACCTGAGATACCAGTTGTGAAAGTTCAAAGAAACTAAAAACATCATATAGACACAAGGCCTAATAGATCAATGGAAAACAGGAATAGGGGAGAAACGTTCCGATCCCTTCTGAGAAATTCTCATTGCCAATTTACCTGAAACTGGCTTTGATCTGGCTGCTGCTGTTGACATACCCCTTATACTTCATGGAAAGTGACAAATCTCTAAGATCATATAGTCTGATTCTGGAGTCATTTGAGGTTACCAGTATCTAAAAATAAAAAAACGGAACAGTTCAATATATAATCTTTTCATCTAAGTTAAGCTATAATAAAAAAAGTATATACACATACAGAATATACCTCAAAACTAGAAAAAGCAGTATTCCAAAGGAAAGGGACTACATTCTTAGCTAAGATATTAAGAACTAACTTTCAGAAGTCTATATACAGTATTGAGAGAGATGGTTTTGAATACTTAGTACCTTATTTTCTCCTGGTAAAGGCTCAATGCCAGTAATTTTTCTTCCAACCTTGTTGCGTCCTCTGGTAGAGCGGACATGTATCTGTGTGTGGTATTTCAAATGCTAAAAAGAAATCACAAATTTAACAGATTAGAATTAGAGGGAATATCAAAGATCATCTGATCCATCTCATAGACACAATATTATTTGCTCCAATTTACAGATAAAGCAGTTAAAGCACAGAGAGGATATATCAACTTAATTCAAAAGCACAAAAATGTTTTACTAAGTATTCAATTACATAATTTATACAAGATATTCATTTACCTCTGTATCATAGAAAATGCATCTGCCATCATATGTCCCAATCACCGCATATTTGCCATTTTGGCAGAAATTTGCTGCTGTGATCAATTTTGTTTGACCATCTACTTCATTCCACAAAGCCACTTTTTTGTCAGGTATGTTCCAAAGACGGAGCTTTCCATCCAATGACCCACTTAGAAAATACCTGTCATCCTAAAGATGTGACAAAATTTAGAAAGCTTTCATTTTACTACATCAAGAAAAACTGATTAGCAAATTAATACATTAACTCTATTAGAAATGTTTAAATATGTAGGTCTCATTTTAAAAGTACTATTCTTCAAGTAAGCATTACTTTATTCACTAAAAATAACAACAATTAGAAAACAGAGTATTCCTTTTGTAGAAATGACACTGTGATTTTATCATATCCTTCAACTTCTCCCAAAGTACGGATGTAAACAGATAATATGCTGAAATGTGTAGTATGTAGAAGTGTTCTGTGATCAAATACAGTGAGTTTGAAAAACTCTGTGTTACAGAAAATGAATCAAGATTCTCAGTTCCAAATGGGGGATTAAGTAGTTGCCATTTTCCAGCTTATTTAACCATGGATTTTTTGTGTGTGTGTGTGGAGAGTTGGTAGGAGGTCAGGGTAGGCACATCTGGCAGGGCTAGTACCTTGGAGGAACATGCTTTGGGAAAAAAACCATCCTATAATGATACGTTTGCCCATGGCCTTTTCTGGGACACGTGTTAATAGCTGGGACAAAAAAGTAATGCCAGGTAGCTCATAGAACCAGTCAATTTTTGGCACTCTGACACCCTGTCAGCAGAGGATCGCTTCACCAATCAAAGTTTCAATCAAATTCTCAATTTCATACCAGGGGTTCTCATCCAGGGGCAACTTGGTTCCATAGAGAACAGCTAGCAATGTCTGAAGACATTTTTGATGGTCACAACTGTGGGGTGGGGCGCTACTGACATCTAAGTAAGTCCAGGAATGCTGCTATACATCCTACAATGCACAAGATAGCCTTTCCCGCCCTCTAAAACAAAGAATTATCCAGCCAAAAATGTCAACGGTGCCAAGGTTGAAAAACCATGCTCTAAAATAAAACTAGGCATACCAGTAAGCTGGCTTAATTTTTGGTAACATAAGAATTAATGATAAAATAATTGGGATGCCAAAACTAGAAACAGATTCTCTGCTCAAGATTATTCTTCCTACCCATCTCTGAAACCTGTCAAGAATAATCTATACAGAATGGGTATTTTTATGGCTATAGTATAGGAGGCTTGACTCAATGTCTACCAGCAGAAAAGCTGAACAAGGAAAAGGAATTCACCTTGGCTTTACAAATCAGAATTTTATTTACATACATACACACGTGTGTATACATGTGCATCTCCACTTCGCTACTTCTTTTACAACTCTGCTATCTTCCTTCTAGATAACATTTAATAGTCACGTTTCATAAGAAAATGTCAACATCACTCCATTCTCCCCTAGAGCCTCTTAAAAAATCTCTAGGTCAGCAGAACTTTTAGAATTAGGGCTTTTTGGTTTCCAAAATAAAACCAAAAAATACAGAAAAATTATCGGCTAAACAGAAACCTTAATAACAATGTACTATATAGATACATCTAATACTTCTCTCTTTCCACTGACACGTCAAGTTAAAACAGAAGCACAGGAAAGGATTTCGTTCACAGCTGCTGACAGGGGTAAATCCACCCCTCTATTGTGATCTTGGTTGACAGGTGGGGGTGTTATTCAGAAAGGCTTGATGGTTAAAACTGATAAGGTATTCACATACATTAAACATTTTTAATTTTCAAAAGTTCTTAGCCAAATTTTTTAAGGGTTCAGTATTATTACTGCTTGTGTTATAAGCTTGCCTGGGGAAGGAAATTATATTGAGAAAAACAAAAAAAAAGTCACTCGTCTCTCTTAATTTTGGGGAAAAAGAGGACAAAATGTGAATATAACGGAAACACTGCATTAAAAGGACACTGAGCATTAAACTTATAGAGATGAGGATGTGATTGGAGATATAATCATACATCAGTGCAGGGGAGGGAAAGTAATAATACATCAACCTGAGTCAGCTTAAGCTCTCCACTTATTTCAACCTAGCTAGTGAAGTAGAAACAACATGTGACCCCTTTGCTTATATAGTTGCAAAAGATTAAAATTAATTTAGCCTTAGGCATTTGATGGCTCTATCCTATATGGGCAGAAGACAGGTCTGCAATTCCATGGTAGTAGACTTTTCTCCTTTAGTTGAAATCTTGTGAAATACTTTTTTCCAGAGGAAAGATACTAAAGGATTTTCTACACTGAAAATAATGCCAATTAAACTACTACTACAACCCCCACAAGACTGGCTAATACGCTATTTGATTGATCAGTCAAGCAGACTGACCAATACACTATTTATGGAAGTGTAAATCAGTGTACCTGTTTCAGGAAACTATGATGTATCTGATAAGCTAAAATATACAATTCTCTTTTTCTCTCTCAAAAAACAAAAGTAAATAAAGTGATCTCAATGGTTCTAGATATTAAACAGGAATTCAGTATTATCTTGTAACAAATTTTGGACTTTGCCTTTTTTCAACCCTTTTCTCTTTGTCTCTTCCCTTCCCAGCCTTCCCACAACTATTCCTGCTTCTATGCTTCCCTTTCTCATTTATCGACTTGTTCTCTTCTTTTCTTCCACCATTTCTAATGTCTCTCATCTTAAATAGGATACTTTATTTATACCCTGCAGGTCTTACTAAAGATTTAGAATGACTTTTCATTGTTATATTTAGAACATAACATTTCCAGTTCTTCTAATGCAGATTAACAGAATATTTATTTCCTATTTCATTTTTTAAAGCAAAATCAAAGTCTAAATTAAGTTATTCTTAACTATGTAGCTGTTAATTTTTTTTAGAAAAATAAAGTTTTTATTCACTCTCCAAGACAGGAGAGGGGCATGGTGTGGAGAGAGACACCAGCCAATTTTTTTTTTCTGTAATCCAACTACCCTCCAGAGAAACCTGGTTCCCTCACAATCCTTGGAGTATAACAAAAAAATGTATAAACAATTACTTACTCTTGGATGAAAAGCTATGGCAGTGACAAAATCTATGTGCTGAAAACAGCAAAGGCATTCTCTTCTGGAAATATGCCATAATCTGACTGTTTTATCCATCGAAGAAGAAAGCAGAAAGTAGTTCTATGGAAAAATTGTCATTGATTATTTTACCACCATTAAAAAAAAGCAAACTACACAGCATCAGAAAGAACAGAAGATTGTATCAAATTCACTTGGAAGATCCCATTTTTTCCAAAACAGTTAAATACCATTATTTCTTAGATTCTATGAATGTTTCACATTATCTATTCTGGAATTATATTGGAATTCGGCTATGAATCTAAGGCAGATATTCATTTGATTGTCACTTCAGTTATTTTTACATTAACAACTCAGATGAATTTAAACTCACATGGAGTCTGTCACGTAAAATGCCTTCAAAAAGATTATCCTATAATACAGTATGGAAATGAAGTTATTGTGCACCTGTCACACTGTAGGCAAGATAATTACAGAACAGAAATTGTCAAATCTACGAGCAAAATAGAACCAGAGGCATGGAAACAAAGAACAGACTGACAGTGCCCAGAGGGGCAGGGATAAAGGTGGAAAGAAGGGGAAGGGACTAGTCAAGGAACATGTCTGAGTGACCCGTGGCCATGGGCAGCAGGGTGGGCACTGACTGTGGGAGTTGCAGGTGGGTGGGGCAGTGGAGAGCAATGGGGGCAAAATTGGGACAACGGTAATAGAACAACAATAAAATATTCAATTAAGAAAGTAAAAAAAATTGTCAAATCTCTCAGAATAGATCACAGAATTTTGAAAGCTAGAAAAGGGTAGTATAATGTGATCTCACCTATAAGTGGAACCTAATCAACAAAACAAACAAGCAAGGAAAATATAACCAGAGACATTGAAAGGAAAAAGAAACCAACAGAAATGAGAGGGAAGAAGGGAGGGGGTAATGGGAAAAGGAAGGGGAAGGGTCAAATCAAGGAACCTGTATAAAGGACCCATGGACAAAGCCAAAGTGCGGAAGGATTGAGGGAGGGAGGTGGGGGTGGGTGGGGCAGGGGAAAGTGGGGGCAGGTAAATGGAGAAAAATGTATCTGAACAATAAAAAAAATAAAAATAAAAAAAGGGTAGTATAACTGATTTAGGCATTGTGATGGATGATCACCCAGGAACCAAACATCTATTAGTCAAACGCTTCCAGCTGCCCTGGCAGGTATGGCTCAGCTGACTGGAGCATTGTCACAGGCTTGGAAAGGGCTAGGGTTCAATCTCTGGTCGGGAATCTTATGAGAGGCAACCAATTGATCTCTCCCCCCTCCCCCTTCATCTCTTTAACAAGCAGTGAAAAAATGTCCTCAGGTGAGGATAAAAAAAGAGCTTCCAGCTGGCAGAAGCTCTTTATTTCTAAACACAATCGATTTAAGGGGAGAACTATGAGTTACACTGAGTGTGAAAACCCAAATGAGACCATATTATTCTTTGGTATGCATAAAAATGCTAAACAAATGGAAGTACTGACATTTAATGAGTACTTACAATGTGCTAAACATTGTTCTTAGCACATTACGAGGCAGGTGTATTATTATTCTCCTTTTTACAAAAGAGAACACTGAGGCAAAGAGGTTAAATAATTGGTTTAAGACTACACAGCTTGCCAGTGGCAGAACGGGCAGTCGGCTCTAGGTATAGGCTCTAGCCACCACACTCTTCTGCAGAGTGCTTCAGTAGAAGACGTGATGGAAAACAACCAGACGCTTTGTCATTTACTTACAGCAATGAAAGAATCTTACATCTTTAAACGTAGAAAGACTAAGCAGAAATATTGATTTGGATATGTAACTGTATTGATAAATATATGCTCTTTGGGTTAGCTTATAAGGCACCCATTTTATAAGGCACAGAATTTTGAAAGATTTAAAATAATTTTAAAACATCTAATAACAATTATTTTTATTTTCAAGATCTACTGAGTTCCAGACAAGTTTGAAGAGTATGTGCAGTTTACTTTGTATTTCCTCTTAATAACAACTATATAAAAAACTAAATCTATGGTCTGTTGTTCCTTAAAATAACTTTATTCAATTCTTACAATAGTCCATTGTTTGAAGTATATGAAGAAAATATGAAGACATGCCTAGAAGTGAAGATGCTTAAGACATGTGAAGATTTGTCCTAATATACCAAGAGATTCCTGTTCAATAAATACTTATTGAATTAGTAAAATTAAATAATTTTATTAAACTGAGCATAATCTTGGGAGTGAAAGAAATTAGATTCAAATCTAAGTTCTAACCATAACTAGTTTTGTGATCTTGGACAGGCCAGAGGCTCTGTCTTCTAATCTACAAAATGAAGTATCATCTACCTCACAGGGTTATTATTGTAAGAATTAATGAGGTAATTCTTGTTATCTGGTACAAAATAAGTCTTCAACCAAAAGAAAACCCACCATAAACACCAATTGTGCTAGATACTGAAGAGAAACAACAGCAAAATAAGATCTGGTCCCTATTGTCAAGGGGCTTAGAATCTTGCTGCAAGCAAGACTCTGAAATGCACATAGGTAGTTAAGTAAAAAATGAAAGTTTAATCCTTATGTATGCATAACCTCTTGGTTCTGTTGCTCTGGAGAACTCTGCCTGATACAGTGGTCAGTGGAGAACTAATGCCTTCCACTTAGTGTGACATTTCAGAAAAAATATTGGTTTGCTTTAACAAAGTAAAATTAGTGCAAGGTTCCCAATTATGTACTTTGCACTCATTGCTCCAAATGATCATGATTATCAGATTAAAGATTAGATTTCCATCTTTCGACAACTCAGTCAGACTTCACACAGGGTGGAGAAGGGTACAAAGACACAATTCGGGCTCAGTTTAAAGCCAGACTCTAAGGTGAGGCCCAAGTTTCTTCCAGGAGGTTAGAGAAAGACGTGACTGATGGGTTATGAAATCCATCTAGACAGCTAAATAAGTATGACAAGAGCAGCAATTCATAAATGGAGTGATTCAAAGCTGAAGCTCAGAGAAATCCTGATTTGCCAATTCATACAAGTGATATCTTTGTGGCACATGAGGTTCTCCTGACATAGTTAAGACATATGGGCATCACCAGTATCCATCATAGTATTTTTTTAACTCAGTTGGTTGACTTTTCTCAATTTAAAGCTTTTAAATATTACTCCTACAACCACTAATTCTTAATATATTTTAGCTTCTGATTACTGACAAATTTCAATACAAAGAAAGTATAAGGTATTATGCAAAAATTCAAAACCTGCTTCCTGCTTTAAAGACTTGAATTGAAATTTAAAATATCTCTAAATTTTCACCAACTTGTGAAAATATTTGATCAGTGGCAAAACAGACTCTCTACTTCTGAAATAATTTTGTTCTAAGGGGAAAAATCATAAAATTAAGGTTTATCAGTGATTCACAGAATATAAGTGTTAAACCTAAATTTGTAATTTCACAAATGTAGCAGATTAGCCCCAAAGCAGTCTTGATTTGGGAAGATCAGGCTTCACCTCTGTAGATGAAGTCATATCCATTTTGCTGAGGGTACTTTGCAAAATTATAAAAGATGTAAAAGGTATAGTATATAAACAGATCCACATAGACGCTGTTAAGTAATATAAACATTTTCTTATGAGCGTAATGTAACATCTCTGTTAACTTTGATTAATTTGCACATAATGCACACAAAGTATATATGAACATTCAAACACTCAGCAGAGTGACAATCATACAAATAAAAAATGTTTTTATCCTAAAGTCATAGTTACATAGAATTAATACACAATCCAAATAAAACTTCCCTACTTTTGACCATGAAAGATCAAGGAGATCAGCAGTATGTCCTTTATATTTGCAAAATGGCCGTTGTCGAAATGGTGCATTTTTATCATCAGGGTCTTCATCAGCTCCACTGCATACCTATTTGGACAATCACAAATGTTAAAACAGGCTAAACAAAGGCTTTATACACTTCCCACCCCATATATCCGCTCATCATTTTGTATGGTGCTTGAATGAAATCTTGATCCACCAAAAGCAAACTCCCCTTTATGCTGCATTTGCTATTATTACCTCCTTGACCTAATCAATAACAAACCAAGATAATCAACTGAAGACATTGTGCTATCACAGTCTTTCCCCTCCCTAAGAGAGCCAGCACCAAAGGGTGATGATGACGGGTCTAAGCCAATCAAGACAAGCTCATTCCCTTTCTCGGTGATGACTGGCTTAGGTATGGGCACATGGTACAATTTTGAGCTATTAGACGTGAGAGAAAGTTTATTGTGGGGGGCTCTAAAAGGATTTCCTCATTCTTAAAAAGGGCATACAAAAAGGGACCTTCCTCTTTCCTGCCTCTGAACATTGTTATCTGCATGTGACACCTAAGAGTGTGGCAACCATCGAAGGAACCATGAGGGAAACCAACCCAGGAGAACAACAGATCAAGAATAGCAAAGCAGGAAGATGGCAGGACCCTGTGTCCCTGACGATACTACAGAGCTTTTGAATTAGCCACCCCTGGAACCGCCTTACCTCCAGACTTGCTTCCTCATTGCTTAAGGCATTTTCAGTTGGAATTCTGTTATTGGAAGTCAAAAGCATCCTGACAGAGGTAGGTGAAAAATAATGCCATTCTTTTGTGCCATGCATTTAGTTTACAACATGCTTCTGTAGTCATTATCTCAATGAATCCTAACAACTCTGAGAGGTAGGTATTAACATTATGAAGATATAGAGATTAAGAAAAAAAATCAAGGCTCAGAGAGGTTAAAATAACATATTTAAGGTCACATAGCCACCTGCAAACAGCAGAACCAAAGCAGAAATACAAGCCATTCAACTTCAAGTTCGGAGACTGTTCCTGAAATGTTTTAGAGGATGTTAGCATGAGCAAAAATATGGAGTGTTAGTTAAGCCTTAGGGGTTGGTAGGATGATGAGGCCTGAGAACACATATGTGGATTAAGGTAAAAAGGTACTTTGAGACCGGATCATAGAGTCTCGAACTTGTGGCTTAAAAGTTTAAACATTCTAATGCAATGGAGAGTTGACACAAGTTTCTGAAAACAAAAAATAATATAACTTGACTGGTGCTCTAGAAAGAGAATGCTGGGCAATGGTGTAAAAGATCATTTGGAGAGTGAGAGAATGGAGGCAAGAAGAGTGGTCAGTAAGTTTAAGTAAGAATAGTAAGGATTTAAACCAAAACAGTGGGCATGGGGATAGATTAAAAACTGCCAATTCTATTTGTCTAGAATTTTACAGTTAATAAAAATATCTTCACATCCTCTGTGGAGATAGACCAGCCACGCATATGCCCTGACATTTTGCCAAGCTCTACTAATCCTAGATGACTACAGCTACTGCCCTTAATTTTGCTGCCAGTCCCAGGGGCACTGCTAGAACATGTAAAACAAAGCAGGCTTGTCCCACTGCATCAAATTCAACCTTTTCTTTAATAATCATTTACATTTAATTAACTCCTTAACATATTTCCTCTAGCGGTGATTCCAGATCTCTTCCTCCTTAAACATCCATTTTCTTCTCCTTATACTCTACCTTAAAAAAAGTACTTAATGTTTTCCTGATTATAAAATAATACATGCTCAGTGTAGACAATTTAAAAAAATCCTAGAAAGTAGGAAAATTCAAATTAAAACCACCCATAATCTGTTAACATTTTGATCTTCATCTTCCTTTTTTAAAAACATAATTGAGATCATATTCTATACATGATTCAGTACCTTCCTTTTTATCAAATCGTGAGTGTTTTCTGTATTCCACTCTTCGAAAACGCTTACTAGCTGCATATGAATGCAGCTTAATTCAATAATTCTCTAATCTGGTGGTCATCCAGGCATTTCCAATTTTTTCCTAATATAAATAACAAGCCAATGAACAATCTGGAACATGAATCTTCATCCCTATTTGATTTAAAAAAAAAATCCTAAGATAAGGGCTATTACCTGGTCAACTTGAGACTTTTATAGTATCTTCTGTTGTTTTAATAAAGGCAGGTAAGTTTATTTAAAATTTTTAAAGAAATACAGAAGTATAAAGAATAAAATAAAACTGAAAATCCTACCTCCTAGAGACAACTGCTAGTGATAATTTAGTGTGTTTCCTTTAAGTTTTTATCTATAAATATTTATAGGTATTTTAGTCAAAATTGGGATAATATTGTATCCAATTTTTCATTCTGCTTTTTTGACATTACACTTTATTTTGAATATATTTAATGCCATTAAATAGTCTTTGAAAACAATTTAAGAATAGAATAATCCTCTACTGAATGGACTATAACATAGATTTTATTTTCCAACTGTTAACAATTTAGCTTGGTCAGGTCTTGTGAGGACACTAAGATGAAAATCCTTTTACCTACATTTTCGGGCATATCCGATTACTTCTTTATATAGATTTTTAAAGGTAGAATTATTAAAAATAGAGTTACTAAATAAAATATATTTCATCTAATCTATATCTTTCTAAATAGATATCTATGTCTAGAGAGATATTTATATCTCTACATAAATATATGTTTACATACATAAATATATAAAACTTTATTATGAACATTTCAAACATACACAGAAACAGGGAGAATACAGTAAATAGCATAATGAACCTCACACATCCATTGCCTGCTTTGACAATCATCATTTTACTCATTTTATCAATCCTCCCACTTCAATGTATTTGCTTACTTTTGCTGGAGCATGTAAAGCAAGACCCGAATACCACTGACTTTTATCAGTAAGTACTCTCTCTCTCTCTCTCTCTCTCTCTCTCTCTCTATATATATATATATATATATCTAGCTAAAAAGCCCTCTTTTAAACATAACTACAATGCCATTACCACACCTAAAGAATACAATCTGTATCATCTAATATCTAATCCATATTCAAATACCCTGATTACTTAAAAATGTCATTTTAAAGTTGGACTGCTATGAAAACTTGTAAGCCTTCTGATATTTATGAACACTTACCAGACATTGTATTAGTTACTTGAGATACCAAAATAAATGACATTCCTTGTCTTATGACCTATTCTCAATATTTAAAATCCAGAGTGAGCTTTTTTAACATGTCAGATTTATGTCATTCTCTGTTCAAAAACCCTCCATTAGCTTCCACCTTTCTCAAAACAGCAGCCAAAGTCCTTGCAATGGCCCATACGCTATGACTGCCCCATCCACATCTTTGTGACTTCATTTTCTGTTACTCTCCCCCTCCCTCACTGGCTCCAGCTACCCAAACCTCAATGCTGTCTCTTCAACACAACAGAACTCCTGCCTTACAGTAGTTTCACTTGCTGTTCACTCCACCTGGAATGTTCTCCTACAGAGATAACCATATGACCACTTCCTCACTTCCTTCAGATTTTGCTCAAATGACCACTTTATCTGCTTTCTTTTCCTCATAAAATTCATCACCTTCAAATATATTAGAATATTTACTTATTTCTCTGTCTTCCACCACTAGAATTTAAACTTCAAAACAACAGATATTGGTGTATCTTTTGTTTACTATTATATGCCCGATTCCTAGAGCAGTGATTAATTCATAGTTACTCAAATACAGGCACTCAATACATACTTGTGGACTAAATGAAGACATAGTGCCAGACCTTAAGATGTCAACTCGCGGAGCATACTGGTTAAGAGCATAAGCTCTAGACACAGATCAGAGCTGGGTTCTAAATCTGACGCTGTATCTATCAACTGTGTGAAACTGGTGAGTTACTTAATATTTCCTAAGCTTTCTATTCATCATCTAAAAAACAGAGTTCTTAATAGTATTTCACAACAGTATCAGGACTGTTGTAAGTTTACATGAGATAAGACATAAAATGCACTTAGCAAAGTACATGGCGCAAAGGACGGACACATAAAATGTTAGCTGTTGTTACATAAATTGATATAGTTTAATAAGTGCATTTTAACAGAAATATGGGCAATGTCCCACGGGAACAATGAGGGAGCCTCTGGGTAATTACGCATGAAGTGAAACAACGAATGCTTCCGGGTGGAGACCGGAGTCTGAAACGAATTTATCAGGTAAAGGGGAATAGCATATGTAAATATATGGAATCCACAAAAAGGCAACAATGAATAATCGAGTGGCTCAGAACATAAGGTTTGTGAGAGGGAAGGGTGGAAAATAAAATAAGCTGAGGTCGGACTGATCTGTAAAAAGACTGAGTCAAGCCAAGGATTTTGGCCTTGATTCTAGAGGAAAAAAAGAGAGCCAAAAGGAGTGATTAAACAGGAGTAACATGATCAGATTTGTTTTACAGGAAAGTAATTCTGCTGGCATTGTGGATGAAAGACTGGAATCTGGGAAAGAGCTCTAATGGTCCAGGTAAGAGATAAAGCCAGGATTACAGCTGTGGGGATGAAAGGAATGGCCAGATTCCAAAGACATTTGGGCGGGATGTCATGAAACACTGAAGGGAGGGAAGAGAGTAAAAAGTGATCACAGTTTCTAACTCGGGAGATGGTATTATTAAACAATGAACTGACGTACACTGTCAAAGGAGTGGTTTTCTTAGGAAAATTCTATGTATTTTACTTAATTCTGTTTTGGACATATACTAATATTGTTGATGTCTGTCTCCCCCCATGTGGATAGGTTCTTGGCATGGATTGTCCACTGCATCTTTCTATTTCCAGTGCCTAAACCAAGTCTAAACCAACGCATATTTTAAATAAAATGTTGCATATGTAGAATTTCACAAAAATTACTTCTCATTCCTTTACAGTTAACTCCCTTCTCCAAGCTTTTGATTCTATTGATCTTGAAAGGGATCAGAATGTCACCCCCAAATATGCCTCTTTGCGTAAGAATTATTTTGAGCTGAAGAAAACTTAGAAGAAACAGACACTAGAAAGTCTCTACCCTTCTCCTTTCTACCTGAAAGCAGAGCATAAAATTCCCTCTGTGAAGGTGTCTTCCCCTCACCCTCTCCTTTACCAGAAAGGGGAGAATGAATCTTATCTCTGGAGATAACTCCCAGGACTCTACTAAATAACCCTTATCTTACATTATTTTCAAGTAATATATTTACCTTTCCACAACTTACCACCGCTAAGAGCCCAAACCCCTTTCTTTGTCTTTTCCATCTCCACAGACTTATTGCTCTTTTTTAAAATGATATTAAGCCCCTGGGTTTAGCTGTTTCTTTGCGTGTGCCTTATTTTTCTTTTTTAAAAAAGATTTGATTCATTGATTTTTAGAGAGAAGGGAAGGAAGGGAGAAAGAGAGGGAGAGAAACATCAATGTGTGGTTGCCTCTTGCACACCCCCTACTGAGGACCTGGCCTGCAACCCGGCCATGTGCCCTGACTAGGAATTGAACCAGCGACCCTTTGGTTCACAGGCCGGCACTCAGTCCACTGAGCCACACCAGCCAGGGTGCTCTATTTTTCTATGAAAGCCTCCACATGCGTATCATTTCTCCCCATTTAAAAATTTATTTATTGAGAAAGAGAGAGAGAGGCAGAGACAGAGACAGAGACAGACACTGATTTGTTGTTCCACTTATTTATGTATTCATTGATTGATTCTTGTATGTGCCTAAACTGGGGATCAAACAGACAACCTTGGGATATTGGGACAATGCTCTAATCAACTGAGCAACCTGGCTAGGGTTCCTTTCTCCTGGTAATGCCCTTTGTCAGGTTATTTTGTAGACCCCCAGCTGCAGAAACTACGAGGGTGGAGGAATTTTTTTCCTCCCCTACAATCTATTCTTAAAAGTTCTAAGCACCAGTTAAATACTATAATACCCATACTGATGTTCCACTAATCAAGCCCACCAAACATAGATTTACCGAAGAAAAGCATTTATTTTAGGTAAATCGCATATTTAAAACTTCTAGTGTCAAGAAGAAACTTTACAAGTCTCTAGCATAATGGAGCAAAGTATGTATGTCTGTCTGCTTTTCTGCCTTATGTTTACCGAGCTATTTTTGGAAATCAACAACAACAACAACAACAAAGAGCAAAACAGCCAGAATTTTAAGCTTGGCATGACCAGTGAGTGGGTGACCGATCTGGTGTGCGTCATGCTGTAGGCCTCACTGTGCAACAACTTTACACGGATGCTAAGAAGACGAGAGCGAGAATGCAGTTCAAAACAGATATAACATATCAGTATCATGAGAAAAAAGAAAAAAAAAAAGAACACACACACACACACCAGGAAAATAAACTTCATTGTGCTTATTGTACTTCACTGCAGCTAGCACTAGGTTCAAAGATAACAACTGATACTGAACTCCAAAGGCATATGAAATAGAATAGAGGCTTCTTTTAACTGTCCCAATAGAATGACATAAGTAAAAGAAACCCCAGACAATCTTTTCCTGAAAACAACAGATAGAAAGTGATACTCAATTATTCCAGGGAAAAAAAAAACAACAACAAAAACCTCAGTATTCCAGAGGGTCACTACATTTTGTGTCAAATAACTACTATGCTCTTCATTTAAAAGGCTTTGTACTCGAACAAACTGGGAATTCTGTAGGGTTTTGGGGGGGCATGGATGGAAGTAATTAAAAATCTGTAAGTATGATTGTTAAAATAAGCATAACAAGATGGTACAAATAATCCCTGTTTCTAATAGCAACCCATGCCTGGAAACTTTATGGTGAATTAAACTAATAACAGCAAATGCTTTCCCCTAAAGCAAAGAAGTTAAAAATTTCTCCATCTACTACTACATTAGTCAGTGAAGATTTTTCTGGAGGGAGTAGGCCTTGAAAAATGGGCAAGCTTGGAGTTGAAAGAAGGGAGATTGCAGGCATCCAGATAAGGGGAATAGGAATAAGGGCACAGAAGCAAGAATTCAACACTGATTCAAGCCTATCATATTTAGACATGGGGTTAGGTTGCAAGGATACGAAGATCTGTAAGAACAGTTCTTTGCCTTAAATCAGCCCAGAGCCCAGCCAGTGAGACACAACTGCCAAGAAAGACATGGTGATATCATTGTCAGAGTACATATGATGTATGGTTAGAAAACAAATGAGGAACAATTGTGCCTGCTTGATTCAGGGAAAATAAAGAGAGAGAGAGAACGTATTTGAGCTGAATCTTGAAGGATGAGTAGGGCTTTGCCCTGTGAGGAAAGGGGACAGGGAGGGCATTCCTGGCAAATGAAACATGGACATAGACATGAAAGTGAGTGTTTACGGTACAGACCTATATCCAGCAAAGCAAATAGGATGCGCAGGCACTAGGGAATTAGAACTCAGTCAAAAAGGTAAGATGAAGCAATGTCACGAAGGATCTTATTCTGCAGGCTACAAGCCGCCCATCCAAAGATTTTAAGCCACAAAATAGCAATGTCAGATCCGTATTTTGAAAAAAGAAATTGCTGGTGGCAGTGTAGAAAATGAACTGGGTAGAAACCAGAGGTAGAAAAACCGATTAGGAGGCTCCAGCAAACATTTAAATGAGTGTCATGGGTGTCAAGGGTCTAGATGATGTGAATGACAATGATAAGGGGGCAGATTCCATGGGCATTTGTAGGTAGAAGTAGAATGGATGAGAATTTGTAACTAATCTGGTGGGTAAGGGCAGAAAATTAATAGAGTGTTTCTGACTGAGTTAAAACAGTAACTTATGGATGTTGATGCTATTAAAAACGGTCCAAAAGAGAGAAGCAGGGTTGTGTATAGATAAAAATGTATCAGTGAATGACTATTAATATCTGTCCAGTTACTCAAGCCTGACACCTGGGAATCATTCTAGGCTATTCACTTACTAGCTAGTCAGTCACCAAGTCCTAGAGATCCCATTCCTTTCACTGCTCTGGAATTCAGTCCTCTTTATAGATTTTAGACCCACTGCTATCATAATCTATTATAATCGAAGTACTCATTTCTCTCCTGAATTGACAGCCTCGTAAGTGGTCTCCCCGTCTCTACACTGCAGTCCTCATCCAATTTTTTTTTTTAAATCTTCATCCGAGAACATTTTTTCTTGCTTTTAGAGAGGAAGGGAGAGACACATCGATCAACTGGCTACCTCCCGCACACGCCCAGACTGGGGATAGCATGTGCCTGGAGCACAGATTGAACCCCCAACCTAGGTATGTGCCCCGACTGGGAATCGAACCTGCAACCTTATCGTTACAAGACAAAGCTCCAAGCAACTGAGCCACTCCAGCCAGGGTCATGCAATCCATTCTTTACAGTGCTACCAGAATGCTCTTTCTAAAACAAAAGTCTACACATTCCAAGTAAGATCCTGATAAAAACCCCTCAAAGCACCTTCTCGCCCAGTAGCTTGTAGGATAAAGTTCAAATGTCTGGGTTTAACATAAAAGGCCATTTGAAACCCCAATCCTGACTACCTCTCCTACAACTCTCACCATGTACGCTTTGTTTCTGCCACATGGAATTTCTTGAAGCGCTTTTAACCAGCCATGCTCTTTCAGCCTCCATACCTTTGCACTTGCTACCTCCTCTGAAATGCCCCTTCCTTCCTTCTCTCATCTATTATAGTTGATAGCTATATCACCTAGCTCAAACAGCAAAGGCTCCAGGAAGCTTGTCCTGACACCCTGATTCACAAGGCTAACTCCTATACCTGTGCAATACCTTCCGTAACATATTACCATCCAATACTGTAACTGTGGTTGTCTCTTTCACTGGTCAGCAAAATCCCTGAGGCCATAGAATAAGTCTCTTTTGACTTTGCAGAATCTAGCAGTGTCTGGCACATGGACCAGGCACTCAGAAAACATTTGTTGAAGGAGTTGTTTTAGACCTATTAATTGATGTGCTTGAAGAACGTATAGGTGGAGAGACCCTATATATATTTTGTTATGTGAAAGGGTAGCATGCACAATAATATCTCATTCTTGTTTTAAAAACATAAAGCTACTGAAAGGGAATGAGAATTATGGAGCTAAAGCCAGTTCAGGACTAAAGGCAACAAGTGAGTAAGTCAGCTGAGAATGGCCAAGGACACAACCCTGAGAAAGAGCAACATTTAAGGGGGTGGAAGAGATAGCAGGGATATAGGAAGAGACCAAGAGAAAAACAGAACCCAGAACCATGGAAAGCTGAGAGTAGGGAAAAGTTTGTGTCAAATACACTAGAGCCAATGAAATCCTAGGGAAATACTGGTGAGCAGGTGGACATAGGTACTCTTTGTTTACATCACATTTGCCCAGATCAATACACAAGCACAGTGGACAGTTTAGAATATTACGTATTCCACTTTTTAGGTTTAAAGTTGGTTATATTTAATCCTCCAGCTCTGAGGTCAAACGAAAATCATTCAGTTATTTTAAACTACCTAAAACCGTGATAAAGCATTTGTTTAAACTAAGATAGAAAAATTAAAATATTTCAGTATCTTATTTCTTTCCTTAATTACCTCTTATTCAGGTATCCATTATTATTTCTTAAAAGTATTTAACATGGATTTGAGGGGAAGGGATTTTGTGTCATTTAAGTTTACATTCGTAGTTTGGTAGCTTGAGTAATATTCACTGTCCGACAACCTTAAAAAGTCACACGTTTTAAAATTTACTAATTCTAAAAGAAGAAACTCTTCTAACACAGCTTAATTTTAACTAAGTGCTTTCATGCAACTGAATGCCTCATAAATGATAAGGTACTTAAAAAAACCCAGAAGAAAGAAAACAATAAGGTACTTCATAGTAAGCAAATAAAATTATAGTATTTAACAATAGTAACTATGAAATAACAAACTTACCCCTGTATCTGTATCAGATTTTGATGAATTCAGGCTCTCCTGAGAGGGTGATGGCGACACGCGTCCTGAAAAACAACATGACTGTAAAAAGGAATGTACATACAGACGTACCTGTACATGTAGAAGTACACATACACACATCCAATCAGAAATAATGACACAGGAACGCCTAATTAATAGTCAAGAAAGTAACATCCTAGAAAAATACATGTGAAACATTAACTCTTAAGGCACCAAAATATTTGTTTTAATCATTTTTATATAGAATCTTTATAAAATGGCTTAACTATTTTCCCACTTAAAGTATTAGGTTGGCCAAAATTCCATTTAGTTTTTTCCGTAAAATAAAAGACACATTTTTCATTTTTACCAATAACTTTCTTGATTTGGATATTTTGAGTATGTTGGTTATCTCCCGCACGGTATAACGTTGGTTGTTCTCAATTAATGTCTTGACTGGGTTGCTATCAACTTCACCCAGTCCACCTGACCATGGAGTATGGTCCATCAAATCCCTAGCACGAAACTTCGCAAATGACTTCTGACACGTTCAGTCAGTCACAGCACCTTCTCCATACGCTGCACAAATCTTTTTTGTGTGTGTGTTTCAGTTGTGCTCTTACCTTTCTTGAAATAATAAAGCATAATATGCTGAAAATGTTGCTTATTTTCTTCCGTCTTCAATATTCTTCAACGGCTACACAAAAATTCACACATTTCGATAATTTTTTTTACATGCATGCTGATACGACAGCTGTCACAATACACTCTAACAAAATTGCAAAATTGTTTGAAATGAAGTTAAAGACAACTAAGTACTACTAGAGCCATCTTATGAAAAAAGCAAACGAACTTTTTGGCCAACTCAATACTGTTGCATTCTCATTATTCATAGTGAACACATTCTTGTCAATCATAACAAGTAGCAAGATGAGCAATTAAGGGTCAGTAAGGGTCTAGGCTGGGATAAGTCTCAAGGGCCACTCACAATAGCCTTTTTGCTCCATTCAGGGCATGAAAGAAATGTATAGTAAATACTGTTTACTATATTGTCAACTCATTATTATCTTCAATTATCTATTACAACATAATGGCATAACATAATGCAAGCAATACACACAGGGCTCCTAAATTATATACGGCTTTTCTTGCTAGTTTAGCGGATCTTCCTAGATTTCTGTGTTCCTCAAATTGCGGTTCTGACTATACTTGATACTCTTGCCCATAGCCGGCTTTTTTCTCCTTTCTCCCATCCCTTAACTTCTTGTTTTCAAGCTTTGGTTGATTGGAGATGGGCATGGGGTAGGGAGGGAGGTGTTTGTGGAGAAAATTTATTGCAGTTAAGTAGTTACAAGAAAAGGATCCCCAGAACTTAAAGCTCCTATTTACATAAATTCTATGACATACTCTTCCTGATAATTACCATGAAATATAATTATTTTTCGTAGTTGTAACAATTGTGTACATATGTCATGTTCTGAGGTTTCTTTTCCATTTAACCTTTTCCCACATATCCTTTGATGAACTGACAAATCATTTACTTTCCAGGCTATACTTCCTTAATCTTTCTTTATTTATTGGATGTATATGTTATTCTAAATCTTTTTCTAGATTAATCAGAATTTCATTTTAACCTGAAATAGAACTGAAGATTGCCAAAGGAAACCAAATAATTTAGTTCTCAATAGTTGATGAAATGAACTCTGCACTACACCTGAAAGTCCAAAGCTTTGTAGTAGCTTTTTCACTGAGTTTAGACGCTTACTGCTGCTGGCTTCTGTTTTCCTTTTAGGTTTGTGGCTGTTACAGAAGGTAGTGGCTGCTGCAAATGACTGCCAGGCAGGAGGGCATTACCACACCTACAATGTGAAAATGCCAGGTGTCTTTGGATTCTTAAAGGCCACAAATAAATGAAAAATACCTTCAGTATTGTATTTCATTCGCATATTGTTGAAATAGTCAAAAGCATTTTTTAAAGCCCAGATTCTCACTACATTGTCTTGTCCAGCTGAGGCAAGTAATCTGCCACAGTGAGAAAATTTCATTGTCCAAACAGCTCCCTATGAAAACAAAGGAAGGTTCAAAGTTATTACTTTAAAAATTGAGACATTTTGTCAAAATTTAAAAAAAAAAAATCATGCCAAATTACACATACTAAGATAACGCTCACATTACTAACACCACTTAAAGCCGACAGTCCAATGGTGGACCACCACCACAAAGAGGGACTTTTCAAAAAAAAAAAAAAAAAAAAAAAGGCGAGACAACACAGCTGCAGTTTGCGATAACCTAAACTAACAATTTCAAGACACCAAACCTTGTCTAGATATTAGTGGACATGGTAGTTCTGAGGTGGCTGGAAAACTTCAAAGCAAAGAGCCAATTTTAGTTTGGGATCTCAGTTTCCCAGCTGAACTTGGGAGTAGGATAGGAGGCAGCAGAGCCTTTAGTACAGCACCAACACCTCCTGACCAGGGCTGAGAGCAGAATATGACCCTCCTTAGCAGTGACCCTCTTAGTATTGGGCATTTGGAGAACTGTTGCAATGGTATGGTCTCCTGTTTTTCAACCAAACGTTTCGCAGTATATGGCTAGAATTCCCAAGTAGGTACTGAAAACAGTGGGGAAGTTGTGTGCGAGCGCGCGCGCTGTGGGGGAGGGTTAAAGAATGGGAACCCTCACCCTGACCTGGTGTGGCTCAGTGGGTTGGGCATTGTCCTGCAAACTGAAAGGTCGCTGACTCGATTCCCGGTCAGGGCACATGTCTGGCTTGGGGATCCCAGTTGGGGCGTGTACGAGAGGCAACTGATGGATGTTTCTCTCCCTCTCTTTCTCCCTCCCTTTCTTACTCTCCAAAACTAAATAAATAAAATCTCTTAAAAAAGAATGCGAACCCTTAAATTGAAAAGGCCGAATCCTACTACAACGAATATTGTTATAACTACTATTAAAACATACATCTACGTAGATGATAAACATTATCTAAGTTAGAGGCAATAGCTAATTTACTGGAATAATATTCATTTCTACAAAATTCAAGTATATTAGGAAATTTGTCATTTGGAGACTACTACAATGAGATTTTACTTGAAACTGGAAATAATGAAAGAGAGTCAACACAGTACAAGGAAACTAATCAAATGCCTTAAGGAAGTTACTGTAATCAATTCAAACATTTTATATCTAGATTATAAACACCAAATTCCAGTCTGGCTGCCATCTGATATATTTGTGGCTGCTTCCTTTTAGTTAGGCCAACTTTTAGATTTAAAATATAACTAGATAAATACATTCCCAGTATCATTTATCCGGTCCTGAGTTTGTTACTTCCTCCCCTGTATTCCCAGCATTTTCAGCGGCAATATAATTTGTGATATTATATCTACTTGGGTACATTTTAACTCTGATAGAGAACTTGTACCGCTACCTCTGTCCTTGTTTTAGCTGTCATTTTTACAAAATACGTTGAGCTTTTGAAATAGTTGTGTAAATAATTTAAAATATAATGGGGAACACTTTAAACAGTTTTTATGGTGCTCAGAAATATTTAATTTTTTCCATATAGATCTTGAATTTTTCTTATTAAATGTGTTGCTCTATATTTTATCTTCTATTTTCTGACTTTTTAAAAAGATTTTATTTATTTATTTTTAGAGGGAGGGGAAGGAGAAAGAGAGGGAGGGAAACATCAATGTGAGAAAGAAACATCAATTGGTTGCCTCTCCCATGACCCCCAACTGGGGACCTGGCCCACAACGCAGGCATGTGCCCTAATTGGGAATCAGACCGGTGACCTTTTGGTTTGTGGGATAATGCCCAACCCATGGAGCCACACCAGTCAGGGCACTTTAAACATTTTTCAAAGTGATAGATCACTCTCTAATTTAACTGTTTTAAAGTTTGGTCCTTTCACATAGCTTTCTTAATGACACAGGACTAGTGTTTACATAATTCAAAAATTCACCTCTTGAACAATTCAGAGAGACTCTGTATTACCTATTCATTTAATTGTATTAAGATCAATTTATTCTTCTTGAGTAAGGCAAGCAAAATTACATACATAAGAAGAGATTTGCTTTATAGAAGCCAAAGTATTTCTCTCAATGAAAACAGAATCAATACTGGCCTGACTGGTGTGGCTCAGTTGGTTGTCCTGCAAAGCAAAAGGCTGCTGGTTTGATTCCTGGTCAGGGCACACCCCTGGCCTGGGTTGTGGGTTTGGTTCCGGTTGGGGTGCAAATGAGAGGCAACGGATTGATGTTTCTCTCCCTCTCTTTCTCCCTCCCTTCCCTCACTCTAAAAATAAATAAATACAATATTTAAAAAGTATCAAAATCAATACTGAAAAATAAAAAGGTTGCTTACCATATGTTCACCACTAAGATCCTGCACCACTTTTATCTGATCAAAATCATAAGGTCCTTTGAAACCATGTGCTGCTTTGAATTTAACTGGTCTTGTGTATGGCATTCCTTCATCATCACTTGATGAAGGATCATCTTGATCAGTATGAAACACTAAATAGAAATGCAACAGAGATCATTACTAGCTAATGTAGATATAACAACTATCATATTTTTATATTCACTGTTTATCAAGAAAAATCATTACATGGAGAAGCAAAATCTGTCTATTACTAAATAGCATATTGACTTAAGAGTTGGAGCCAAGTGCCAGGCCTGGGTCCAAATTCAGCTTTGTCTCATTTACTATCCATGTGACCATAGGCAAGGTATCTGACCTTTCTGTGCTTCAGTGATCTCATCTATAAAATGGGGATAACAGTGGTACTTACCTTAAAGGGTTTTTATGAGGATTAAATCACACCAATGAAAGTGCTTAGAACAGTGTCTAACACAGAATATTATGTGTCTATTTAATAAAACAAATGAGTACAATTATGACAAGGGCATAGGAAGTTAAGATCTGTGCAAAATTAGAAAATTTACCTAATTTTGAAAATATTCATAAAAACCAAATAACCTAACTAATTTACAACTAATTATTGAACACTCAGCTCTTCTAGGTTGCCAGGGTCACAATGTAAAAATTTATGTTTAAGATATGTAAGTTCAATTTTCTTCCCACTTATAAAATTAAATGATAGAGTAACATAATTTACTGAAATGCTAAGATGTCTATAAAGGTTTATTACTTTTGATAAAATAGAATGCTTCTTGTAAACTACAGGCTGAATTTAGATCATGACAAACCAAATACTTGGTTGAAATGTTCTATTTCACTTACCTTCATCTCTAACACTTTTAACTTTATTTACAGCACGTTCACCATATTCCTCAGCAAGGTGCTTTGCTCTCTTCACTGATTTTCCTAGGAACTTCTTCAGTTGAGTACTTACAAAAAAATACAAAAAACCAAAATTATTTCTCATTAATTCAACTAACTATATAAGTTTAACAATTCACTGATAATCTCATTAGCTGTGACTGGTAAAGTATATTATTTTGACTTAAGGTTTTTGTTGTTGTTGTTTTTACGTAAATAGTAGGCCTTTGAGTTTCTAAATCCCTTGTTGTATAGAATACAGGGTAGGGAAAAAGTAGGTTTATAGTTGTTCATAAGGAAAATAATACAATAAATAAATAACAAGAAAAAAGTGTGTTCTGCATATCCACAAGTGTAAACCTACTTTCCCCCCACCCTGTATATTTAAGTCAATATGGCTACAAAGAAAACACGAGCACTTCTCCCAATATATAATACTGTATACTCTAGAGCACTGCTGAATGCTCTAGGTTTTCAATGGTGAATGATAATAAGTTGGCGAGAAGTGGGCGGGAGGGGAGTGTTTAAAGTACAGATACCTAGTCCCCATCCCCAGATCATCTGACTTAGAAGGTCTGGGGTGAGGCCATCAATCTGAAGTGAGAATTGCTTTGAGAAGACTGCTTTAGAGTCATCCTTAAAAACACACTTTAACAAAAAAAGACACTAAAGACGTAGTCACGACACTAAAGACGGAGTCACTTACAAAATAGAACATTTTGAACAAGAATAAAAAAGAAAAAGGAAAAAACCAAAAAGAGCGCTCTGGTAGCCTAAGATGGCCTCTTGTCCCTTATCTTTCAGTTTGGGTATTTGCACTTACAGTCAGAGCTTTTATAGGAGGTATTCCCAAACAGAGTAATGTAAGTCTGCATTTCAAACTTCCATAAGTAGGACTTACATATTGCTTTTTAAATTATCTACATCTTGAATTTCATATATTAAAATGACTTAAAAACAATGCAAAGCACATGATATTTACAATAAAAAAATTTATAAATGAGGGGTAAATTTTTATCAATTAATGGGAGCTCATGATATTAAGGACAGAATTTGAAAAAGTTGCTAAGCTATACATACGAAGATGTTCACTGCAGCATTGTTTAGAATACGTGAAAAGTAGAGATAAGCTGAATTTTCATCAACAGAGGAGTGAACACAAATAAGCGACTGTATCACAATGTAATTCAATAAAATAAATGAGGCAAACCTCAGTTCTTTAAAGGTACCAAGCTCTTAGTCACTTCAGGGCCTTTGCATGTATGGTTATACTCCTTGGAATACTCCTCCTCTAGGTAATTTCTACTCCTCTTTAGGTCTCAGACCAAACAGCTCTCTCTCAAAAAAAGCCCTCCTTGATTCTTCAAAACAGGTTTTCATGTTATATAGTGCCACAGTACCCCATACAGTTCTTTTACAGCAATTACTACAAATGTAGTTAGATTTACCTGTGTAATTACATGTTCAATGCCTGTTTCTCCTATTGAAATGGAAGCTCTAGGAGGGATGAGACTATGACTGTCTTCTTAACTATTGTACCTGCAGGACTAACTCCCATGTCTGGCTGATAGAAAGATTACAATATACTTACTATTGGTATTGATATGAAAATATGTCCATTATACACTAGATTTTTTTAAGAGCAAGTTGACAAACTATAGGCATAGTATAATCCCACTTTTGTGAGAAAAACAATTCTACGGAGAGTACACCTAATTATTAATACCGAGAATGTCTGCGGTTGAGCATATGACATACTTTAATTCTCTATTTTATAGATTTCTGTATTACTTTTGATAATTGGAAAACACAGATGATAAATCGTTTTAAAAATCACTATAGCCCTCACTGGTGTGGCTCAGTTGGATGGGTGTCATTCCACAAAGCAGAAGGTTTCCAGTTCGATTCCTCGTCAGAGCACATGCCTGGGTTGTGGGTTCAGTCCCCAGTTGGGGTGTGTATGACCGGCAACCAGTTGACGTTTCTCTCCCTTTCTGTCTCACTTCCCCTCGCTCGAAAAATAAATAAATAAAATCTTTAAAAAATAAATAAAAATCACCATAAAGTCTCTGCTCCTATAATTCTGAAGTTATATTTTCTGGATAACTATATGTTTACTACTGCTTTAAGCAAGAAAACAGGTATTTCAATCATTTTGGATGAGAACATCTCTAAAATACATACTTTTGTACCTTTTTCAATGGCATTTAATGTTCAATATGTTTCTTTCTTTAATAAATGGGGCCAATTACCACCATTACTGTTCTTTAATACGTTCAGGACCTTTCAAATGGTTTGCAAGTGGGCCATAACGTTGACTCCAAGCCTTTAATACAACAGGGCAGGATACAGGGAAGCCAGACTCTGGACCAATCTCTTCTGACCATTAGTTTACTCTAGCACTCAGTGCAAGTATTGCCATGTTCTATGTGTGTTATAACATGAGACAAAGCTGAAACCACTGCCATACAAAATGGTTGTACTATGTAAGAGTCCTTTTATTATTTTTGATTCCTCTCTTGCAATCAGAATATTATCTGACATTCTTATGTGTCAACTTCAGGTTGTCATAGTTCGGTGCTTCTATTTTGTTGTGAGCTCAGACACCAGACGACCGGATTTTTAAAAGTTTTGTAATAAATAAGTATAATGGCTTTGAATAATCCTGAGGAGTTTTCTTCTGTTAGAAAAAAGATTAGCTTTAATGTGTGGAATAAAAAACATCTTTCCTGAATATTTATATGTCTTCTGAATAATTCCTAATTCTCTGGTTCCTGAGAGTCGTCACTGCTAGACAGCCAAGGTCCGGATACCTGGAGGTGTTACCATAGACTTGCATTGTGGTACACACCTTTTCTAAAAATTATCAAAGCTTCCTTTGCTACCATTTCCACACTAGGAAAAGACCAGATTTGAGTGGAGAATTCCCTTTGGGCCTGAACTATTTTATGTTATATTTATATTTATTTTATATTTTAGACTAAATTATTGCCAATTAGGTGACTTGCATATAATCAAGCAAAATCTATATGCCCACCATTGTGCTAGGTTTTTGTAGGGGAAACAGAAGAATAGCATGATCACAGTCCTTGGTAATATACAATAAAGGGCAAATATAAGTTATATAGAATATAGGTGTCATTGAAATTGAGAAAAGGAAGAAATGTACTGTGAACTGAATTAAGTCAGGAAGAATCTCATGTAGTTGGGTTTAAAAACACAAAGAGGATTTGCACAAATGAAGAGAAAGAGAAAAGGCAACTTCAAGGACAATCAAGTTCTTCTCCTAACACTTCTGGTACCTACTGACAGAAAAAAAGAAAAGAGGCATGATGCAAAATTTATTGAACATTTACTATATATCAGGTGCTATGTGACGAACACAGCCTCAAAGGCCTCATCATCCATTGGCTGGTGGCAGGGAGTGATGTTGGTGGATGGATTTATAAACTGGATAGAGTACAGATTTAAAATAGTATAGTAGTTCTCCTATTTTTAAAAATAAAGGCTTGAAATGCAGAGAAGGGATGTACTGTAACTCACGTTTTCTGTTTTAACCTTCCACCATCAGTATCTGTTGGGTGAGACTGCAACTTGTCTTCATCATCTGACTGTGCTGCGTCATTACTACAAAGGGAGGAAGTAATTTTAAAAGAAGCCATTTCCTTAATACTTCCCCAAAATCTCTATATACACTTACTATAGAATTAGCTAATCAGAGTAAAAAAGAAAACAACTGTTCAAATGCTTTATATAAGTTTAATGTAAATGATGACTCTGAGAATTTAAAGACTTGAAAAATCAAAGAATACAATCTTTAAGCAAGGTGTAATGTACAAAATCCAAGTGAATGCAATTTAGGAACTTAAGGAAAACCTATGACAAACAAGGCTTTCTGCTGGACAAAACAGGCTACATGGAAATTGTAAATATCTTCCTCCTCACTCACCAGGCACATCACGCATTATACATTATAAAGTTTTACTTTCCCGGAAATTATTCCTTAGATCTACATATATCCCACAAGAAAGTCAATTGCCTTACTCTAAAGCCATTTTCTGACCCTTCAAATTATATATAAAATTTCTGATCCTTAAGCAAGGTTTCAGAAGACCAGATGTTCATCCCAAACATGGCTTTCTAGCCTCAACGGGTTTTAATACTGTCTCTAGAATAATATAATCATATTAAAAGAAGAGAAACCAAATACTATGGGATTGAAGATATATAATATCCGCCCCGCAGTAATTGTACAGTCCTAAGAGAGAACAAAGGTTAAGAATACATATTTTAAGTATTTTAACCGCAAATCTAAAAAAAAAGGCTGAACAAAACCAAATTAGGGACTGTCATAGAAATCTGCAACACTCTGAATGAAATACTTCAAATGATAAATAGTAACATTAGGTCATACCTTACATATTCTTTCGTCCTTCGCATGATGTGTAGAGTAAGAGGATTAATACCTGTTGGCAGTTTCTCTTCCGCAAGACTCAAAGGTATTTCTTCTCCAGTATCCAGGTTCTTAATCATCACACTGGCTAAAATTTCCTGAGGTAAAAATATAACACCAAGAGAACTTTATAATTTAAGTATATTTTTGAGTCTACAAAATCCTCAAAAATTTAAGTTAAGGACTTTCTAGATGCATTCAGTACTGTGTACAATAATAATTTTTAACACTTTTAGTTGGATACAACTCACACACTGCAAAATGCAGTCATTTAAAGTGTAAATAGTTCAATGATTCTGAGTATATTCACAGAGTTGTGCAGCCATCACCATTACATAAGTTGAGAACATTTCTACTACCCCCAAAAGAAATGCCAAATCCATTAGCTGTGTTACCTTATTCTCCTGCCTTCCAGTTCTTGGCAACCACTCATCTACTTTTTTGTCTTTATGGATTTACTTATTCTGGATATTTCAAATAAATTAAATCATACAGTATGTGGTCTTTTGTGATTGGCTTCTTTCACTTAGCACAATGTTTTCAAGGTTCATCAATACTGTACATGTATCAGAACTTAATTCCTTTTATAGCCAAAAAAATAGTCCACGTAGCCAAAAAAATAGTCCACGTGCATGGATATACCACATTTTATTTACCCATTCATTGGTGATGGACGTTTGTGTTGTTTCCACACTTCGGCTATTATGAACATCTGTGTATATTTTTTATGTTTTCATTTCTCTTTGGTGTATACACAGGAGTGGAATTTCTGCATCATGGCAAGTCGATGTTTAATATTTTGAAAACTGCCAAACTACTTTCCAAAGTACAGTAATTTTTAAAAATGTGTTGTTTACAAGAAACAAAAATCAAGGTTTTGCTTTAAAACTTCATTCTGAATAAACTGACCTGTTAGATATATACTAAATTTTAGTGGTAAGAAGTATTAAGTTTGTATGTATTATACATCATGTAACATGTATAAAAACATATACATACCTACAATGTGAAGGTCTTTTTAAGCCCATTTTCTATAAAACACAGGCCTTGCTTTCAATATATTTATTCCACCATATAATTGTATAAAAGGGCAAGTTTAAGTCGAAGTTGCAAACTCCAAAATATTACAAAAACAAAACCCAAGACAATCTTCATTTTTTTCTACGTTATGATTTTTTGCCTCCAACAGTAAACAAAAACATTTCACATTATGGTAAAATATACACAATGTAAAGTTTACCATTTTAACAATTTTTAATTGTGTAATTCAGTGGCTTAATTGGGCACATTCACATCCCTGGGCAACCATCACCACCATCCATCTCCAGAACTTTTCCACCTTCCCATTATAGTTTTTATGTTTGTTTTTGAGAGCAAAAAATGTAATTATACCTCATCAGTAAGCTCTCTCCCAGAGTTGGATCTAGGTCTCTGAGGGCCCACCACTTCACCTGCTATTGTCTGCCCATCAGGAGATTTTCCATTTTCCTGAAATTGTAATTTTAAAAACAGAAAGTAGACTGAGTCAATTTCTATAAATATTCAATTATTCATTACCACACACGGTTTTAAAAATTCTATTATTCAGATAATGGAACCTCTGAAAATTTAAATGGAACACTGCATTTCAGGCCCTTTATCACTCCCAGCATTTTGAAAAACATCAGGTACCAAAACTATTGCCGCCCATGCAATAATGTCTTTGTAGTCTTGAAAGCAAATAAATGTGCTATTTGAACCTGACCCAAAAGCAGTTCTCTACTAGTAGTATGCTAGCACAAAGGTTGCCATTAATCAGGGCTATATGTGTGGGTATTTCAAAGGCAGGTGTCCACAAACTTTTTCTGTAAAGAGCCAGGCAGTAAATATTTTAGGCTTTTTGCTTCACAAATAGTGTCTGTCAAGTATTCTTTTTAAAAAATACCCTTGAAAATGTAAAGACCATTTTTAACTTGGGGACCTTACCGAAAGAGGCCACTGCCAATCTCTGCCTCGAGGCTATGATAAGACTGTTACAGTGTTTTATCCCTCGGTTTGCTAACCTGCCTGATCACGGTTACCATATAAGTAACCCTTGAGTCCAAGAATTTGGCTGTGGTAAAAATTCACGTTATCAAGTCTTTCCCATTGCCTCACACGTAGAGATATACAGCATAGAGTGCATAAAGTTTTTCTTTTTTTCATGATTAGAAAAAGGAAATTATAAAAAATAGAAGTCCCCGATTTTGTCGACTACAGTCCAGGTAAATGAAGATTGTAGTTGGCGTTTATTAATATCAATTATATTAAATAGCAGCATCGGTCATTTTTGGAATGCATACTACATGGCCAGGTACTTGGTACATTTTCATCCTTGCAAGAGACATTCAAGAAAGGTTTTTCCTTCATTTTATCAATGCATCTGAGATACAGGTGTTAAATAGCTTCCTGGAGTCACCCAGCTACTCAGCAGCAGAACTGACAAGGGACATAAGGAGGCCAGGTTTTGGGGATAAGGAAATATTTGGCCTGGAGCAAAAAGTAGATTCAATTCGATAATCAACAAACCAGAAAGGTGCAAAAAAGCTGATAAAGCCTATATCAAATATAACATGAATTCACCAACCTACCTGGGCAGTAACTATTTTATCTCCGCTGGTAGCACTTGCCAAATCAAGAGAAGGCTGAGAATCCTTGATTGTACCCTCTGAAGCCATGTTCGTAGTTAGAGTATCAGATGTAATATTCTCCTTGGGAACTGCAATGAATGATAATGATAATAACAAATATTTATAGAGGACTTTGTACATAGCTTGAAATGTGCTTTAACCTTTATTTATCTGATCCTTGGAACAATCCTGTGATGAAGGTGGTTTTATTACCCTCATTTTGTATATGGGGAAACCAGGATTCAAACAATGTATTTAAATTCTTCAAGGTTGTAAAACTGAAACATTAAGAGATCTAGTGCCCAATAAATTTAGAAATTAAAAAGTTAAAAAAAAGAGAGATCTAGGACTTGAATTCAAATCTTAACTCTCCATATCCTTTACAACATGCCACACTGCCTCTTCAATGAATTTGAAAGTTTGAAGTCTACTGAAATGTTCAATTATAATAATGTAACTAATCATCACTTTAAACATTTTCACTTTTATTACTAAAATAATTTTTACAAGTCAGCCATTAGTTGTAGTTTATATAACATAAATTGAAACAAAATCAGAAATGTAAACAAGTTCAACTCAAAAATCTCCCCACAAAAATACTCATTTCTCAATTAATACTTGCCATCCAGATCAGGCGTTTTAAGAGCCTCACACTCCAATTCACTTTTCTTTTTTCTTGGTGGTGGAGCAGGTCGAGATGGAGGTGGTGGTCTAGGAGGTGGGAAATTAGTTGGAGGGGGTGGGCGTGCCGGAACAGGCTTCTTTGTACTAGCTACTATATCAGGTTCTGGAGTAAGCTGTCTTGGGGGTTTGGCAGGAGCCAATTCTTCCACAGTAGCACAATCTTTAGCCGATGAGGAGTTTGAGGATGCAGATTCTAGAATATCACTTCCTTTGATTTCCACTACTTCCTTGTTCAATGCTTCTGTTTCAGTTTCAGGCACATTAAGCTGCTCTGTTGAACTTACTTCAGTTAACTTAGGAGTTTCATTCACTGGCTTCTCAGAGGTGTCATCAGAAGAAAAATCTGTTTTTGACTCTAATTCAGTTTCTTCAAGTGCATTCTGACTCTCTGCCCTTTTGGAATCTTCCTGTAGTACTTGATCTATGGCTAACAGTCCAGGTATATTGCTAAGATCTGTTTCAGCCATGAGAGGACTGGCAGTAGCCTGAAGAGAGTGTCCTTTTCCTTTGGGATCCAAAGAGTCATCTTCAAGCTGTAGTACTTTCTGACTCTCTTCAATAATACTTTCAATAATCTGATGAAATATTAAAAAGCATTTTTTTAAAAATGAAGCAATTGACAAGAACATAATAATAGCCAATCATTTATACAGTACTTACTATATGCCAGGCAATGTTCTTAACACTTTACACATTTTAATCTTTACAACAACCTTCAGAGGTAGCACAATCATCATTATGCAAAGGGAGGAGCTAAGGCATAGAGGGATCTAATGATTTTTCTGCGGTCACAAAGTTTGTAAGTGACTAAGCTGGCATAAACCTAGGGAGTTTGGTTCTGTACCCTTAACTATTATTAATAGGGAATCGATGTTAGTGCATGTAATCACAAAAGCTCAACCAGCTCTGTATAATGAAGTTCAAACCTGCTCTGGCTGGTATGGCTCAGTGGATTGAGTGCCGGCCTACAAATGGAAAGTTCAGTGTTTTGATTCCCAGTCAAGGCACATGCCTAGGTTGCAGGCCAGTTCCCCAGCTGGGGGCGTGCAAAAGGCAACTCATTCCCTTCCCCTCTCTCTAAAAATAAACTCTTAAAAAAATCAAGTTCAAACCTAAAATTACATTCAGACTCTTCATGTCATAGTTCATTTACATATTTATGCCAATTCAGTTGTAGTAGCAGCCTGCTGATTTGAGCCTAGTTAACCAAATCATGAGAATCAAAACTGCCTAGTATAGACCTGGCTGGTGTGGCTCAATGGATTGAGCGTTGGCCTGCAAATCAAAGGGCCGGGCCATTGGTTCGATGTCTGGGTTGTGACCCAGGTCCCCAGTAGGGGGCATGTGAGAGGCAACCACGCATTGATGTTTCCCTCTCTTCCTCCCTTCCCTTCTCTCTAAAAATAAATAAAGAAAATCTTTAAAAAATCCCATCTAGTACAAGAATTCAAGTTGTTTAGCTCAAGCCAGTGACAGGAAAAGCCAGAAGATGCAAGGAGGTTAATGTTCTTAAACAGAATACACCTAATATCCCATTATTCAGAAGGATGACAGGACCATGAAGAATTCAAACACCCAGCTCACCTTGCCTTTTTCCCCCCCTTTATTTCTATCTATGGCTAAAAAGGACAGATAGACTTTCCATGTGTCCTACCAACATTTAGAAGAAAATATATTTTTGACCCAGTCCTGTCATTATTCACACGATAAATCTTGCAGCCCACTTATCTCTCTACCATGCCCGACCACAGATGACTTCTGCTTTCTCAATACCTTGTCTCCAGAAAGAAAACAGAATGTGTCACATGCTAACTTGAACTGGATGTTATTGCTGTTGAATAATATTCATTCTTGATTGCCCAGCATATCCCATATATTACTGTTTCTCAACCTTCGAATATTTAATCCTAGACATACATCACTTTTACCAGAGGAATATTAACTAGAGTCCACCTAATTTGATAATTAGGTGGTTACTGAGCAGCACTGAGTACCTTTGTGATAACAGAAGCCAGATTACAGTGGGTTTAAGAATGAATAAAAAGTGAAGACAAAGAGACAGCCAGCAGTCTACGGTTTTCAAAACTTGGCTATAAATGGAAGAGGATGCAAGAAAGTGAGCCAGCATTTTGATAAACCAAGAAGGGGCCAAAGGAAAGGAAGGTAACAGAGTTCTGGAGAAGAAAGGAGAGGGTCTACTATGCATTAGATTCAGTACACACATTCTCTATTTAATCATCATACAAACCCTGTGGTTTGGATTACCCTCTTTTTACAAAAGCATGTATCTGAGGTAAAGGCATTAAGAATTTTGCCCAAGGTTCCAGAGTTAGTAAATTACTAAGTCAAAACTGAAATCCAGGTTTTTCTTTAAAAAAATCCACGGTTTTTTATTTTTTTATTTTTTAAAGATTTTATTTATATATTTTTAGAAAGTGGGGAAACGAGGGAGAAAGAAAGGGAGAGGAGACACTGATGTGCCAGAGAAATAACTGGTTGCCTCTTGCATGCTCCCCCACTGGGGACCTGGTCTGCAACACAGGCATGTGCCCTGATGGGGAATCGAACCGGTGACCTTTCAGTTTGCAGGCTGGCACCCAATCCACTGAGCCACATCAGCCAGATCCACAGTTCTTTATATTATACCACACTACTATGGGCAGGAAAATAATACTAAATTTTTAACAATTTCAGGAAAAGGAGAGTAAAATGAAAACAAGATGGAAGGTAAGGGAAATATGAGATGATAAAAAGGAGTGAATTCAGGCTTCTTGGCCTATAAAGTCTACATGCGGTAGGAAACAAGGTCATTGGCTGAAAATGAGTGGGATACAGTGGGCACAGTGAGCAGGGGGTGAATGTAAAAGTTTGGAATAATCACTATGCGTAATGGAAAGGCCCACGCCATTAGAGGGGTCAACATGAAGTAGAAAATCTTAAGTCATGCCCTGACTGGTGTAGCTCAGTCGGACGGGCATCACACCGCAAACCTAAAGGTCACCAGCCAGGTCACACACACGCCTGGCTTGCAGTCCCTGGTTGGGGGCATGCAAGAGGCACATTGATGTTTCTCTCCCTCCCTTCCCCTCTCTCTAAAAATAAGTAAATAAAATCCTTAAAAAAAGAAAATCATAAGTCATCCCTAATCCCTTATCTGAAAACAATCTCTCCCTTCTCTGAACTTAGTGTTCATTACATTATGAGCAATAATATAAATACAAGGTAGTATATGGGATAACTCTGTAGAAATATTTCCTCCACACAAGATTATTAGTTCCTGGGAACAAAGGCCCATACTTTCTAACTCTTGATACACCCCCATAACACTTATTTACCATGTCTACCCCTGTATTTTTTCCCTGGGTTTTAGGGGGCTGCAAAGAAGGAAACAGCAAGAGAACAGTGAGAATCAAAACCAACATGGAGAGATCATGCTGAAGCAACTGTTTGCTTCACGTCACCTTTCTGCTTCAAAAACCTCACTGCTTTCCCAGTGATTAAAAAATAAAAGCCAGATGTTTTAGGATGATAGAAGGCATTCCCATAATCTGGCCTTAACTTTGGTCTCTAGACTCATCCTCAAACATTTTGCATACTCATCATCTGAGTGCCTTTCTTTGGCTATGCCTTTCCTCTCCCATCTCTGCCTGCCCAAATCTTATCCATTCATCAAAACCAGCTCAGATGCTACTTCCACCATGAAGTCTTCCTTATTCCTAACCTCAAGGAGAAAGCAAAGTCTCCTTTTGTGTTCTTATAATAGTTTCTAGGCTTACTACATTCAGCTTTGTATTCATCTATTGGAGTGGCCAAAAGGTCCATTTAGTTTTTTCTGTGAAATAAAAGACATATTTTTCACTTTCACCAATAACTTTATTAATTTGTATATTTTGAGTATGTTGGATATCTCCCTCGTGGTATAACATTGTTCTCAATTAATGTCTTGATTTGATTGCTATCAACTTCAACTGGACCCCCTGACAATGCACAAAACTTCGCAAACCACTTCTGACACGTTCAGTCACAACACTTTCTCCATACACTGAACAAATCTTTTTTTGCGTTCCAGTTGTGTTTTTACCTTTCTTGAAATAATAAAGCATAGCCCTGGCTGGTGTGGCCCAGTGGATCGAGTGCCGGCCTGCGAACCAAAGGGCTGCAGTTTCGGTTCCCAGCCGGGGCACAAGCCTGGGTTGTGGGCCAGGTCTCCAGCTGGGGGTGCGCAAGAGGCAACCACACATTGGTGTTTTTCTCCCTCTCTTTCTCCCTCTATTCCCTTCTCTCTAAAAATAAATAAAATCTTTTAAGAAAAGCAATAAAGCATAACATGCTAAAAACGTTGCTTATTCTCTTCCAACTTCAATAGTAAAATGGCTACATAAAAATCCACCAATTTTGATAAGTTTATTTCATTTTTTATCTTTTCAACGTTTTATTTATTTTAATAAAATCAGAATATGCAGTGCTAGCATTTAAACTAATACAATAAGCAACTACTAAAGCTACAGTGACTTGAGGTTCAATCCTTACATTCAGCAAGTTGAAATCCATTCTTTTATGATTTTTGAAACCGTATTTATAACTGAAAATATTGCTTACTGATAAAACTTGCTCAAATGCTATTGCTGATTATGCACCCTGATTAGACAGCAGTCACAATACAACCTAACAAAATTGTTTCAAATGGAGTTAAAGAGAACTAAGTGCTACCAGAGCCATCGTAAGAAAAAAACCAAATGAACTTTTTGGCCAACCCAATAGTTTCCTCCTCTCCTAAAATGTAGGCTACTGGGAGCAGGGATTTGTCCTGGTGCAGGGTAAATATCCACAGCCTTCACCATTAATGTTTGATACTTAATTCAACTGAAAAGGCTAAAACTTAAAAAATGATACCTATAGTGTTAAGCCTCACTCTTTGTCCTGTGGGGTTTACTCACTATTTTTTCAGCTTCTAAACTCTCCTTAAAAATCACCATTTTTCTTTTACTAACTACAGATAAGATAAATTACAAATGGGAAACTAAGGAAAAAAATTCTTAAAAAGGGAAAGAAAAGCTCTAGTGCAAAAGGTAGAAACATTTTAAGCTTTCACCTATAAAAACAGCTAGACACATGTGTAATACATTTGCTTGATGGAAGCTAATAATATATCAAATGAAAAATGAGTACTGAAATCATCTAGAAATATGATGAAAATCTAAAAATGCTAAGAGAAAAAGGTAGAATACAAAATTCTATTTACACTATTAGGGGGAAAAAGGGAATGCCAAAAATCAAAATATCTCTTTGTTGCAGTGCATACTGTAGACAATTTGTAATTTTTTAAAAAGGTACCACTCTTATTATTATGCTGATACACAATACCACCATTTCTCACAAAAACAAATATTTTCCTTTTAAAGAAATAACATGATCAATATTAAAATATATAGGCCCATTAAAATTTTAAATTCCATAAAGGCAGGATCTCCATTGGGGGCGATTTTGCTCGGGACTCTTTCCTAGACATTTGGTGATGTATGGAGATATTTTTGGTTGTCATGACAGGGTGGGGGGAATCTACTGGCATATAGTGGGGGATGTTAGCAGGGATGCTGCTAAACATCTACAATGCACAGAACAGTCTCCCCTTTGTGCCACAACAAAGAATAAGCCAGGCCTTGCCCTGGCCAGGTAGCTCAGTTGGTTGGAGTGTTGTCCCATACACAAAGAGGTTGAGGGCTCCATTCCCAGACAGGGCATATACCTAGGATGCAGGTTTGGTCCCCAGTCAGGGTGTGTACGGGAGGCCACTGATTGGTGTTTCTCACATCGCTGTTTCTCTCTCTCTCAAATCAATGAACATATCCTCAGGTGAGGATTACAAAAAAGGAAAAGAAAGAAATTAGCCAGCCTCAAATGTCAACAGCTGCTGCAAAACTCTAGCGTAGAAAATGTATCATCTTGTTGGTTTCTGGAAACCTACTGGCTAGAACACTGCCTGGGGTGCAGAAAACACTCAACATATATAAATGAAAACACACCATCCTTTCTCCTTGGGTTTTATCCTGACACGGTGAACAACCCTATTGTTAAAATGTTTATCTTGTGCTCAGTCTCTGCTACTAAGCCAAACTCTAAAGCTATTCATAGCATCAATTCTTTAAAAGTTATCAAAGACGCTACCAGAGTAATAAATTCTTATAACTTCCAACTCCCAAAGACATCACCATTTGCTGCACTGAGCTTTTCAATACCATTAACTTTTGGTAGCAACCGGGAGTAGTTATAACTTATTCTAATAAAATTACAAGCATAAAAAATAAAGACCCATTACAAAATATTTTTCTAACTACTGTTTTAAACCAGAGGGGAAAGGGGCTGGGAGGAGGCTGAAGAGGGTAAAGGCAGTCAAATATATGGTGATGGAAGGGGACTAAACTTCGGGTGAGGAGCACAGAATGCAACATACAGATGATGTAGTACAGAACTGTACACTTGAAACTTATATAGTCTTATTAACCAGTATTACTCCAATAAATTTAATAATAAAAATACTGTTTCAAGGATAAATGACCAATTACTAAATGACTTCTAAAAAAACTTGAAGCATCTTCAATCACAAATTGAACAGATTCAAGGACAATTTACTGAATATTCAGCACGTAGGGAGTACTATACTAAAAGAATATAGAAAATTTTCCACTTTAAACATACCATGTAAAAATAAATAAAATTTAAAAAATATATACCATGTAAACAACAACTGCTAAACTAATATCGACATTCTACCTTACCAACCTTTTTAGACACATCTTGTTTCAATTCTGGTACAGGTGACTCATTTCCAACTTTGTGTGCAGTGTTCTCTGTTTCCTATTTTAAAACAAAAAGAAACAGGACCAAATGATATGTTTCATTTAAAATTCTGTTTAAAATAGGTGCAAATTAGAAAATATAGCATTAATAAATCAAAAGCCCATAAAGGGCTTAGATGTTTGTATACGGATATATGCCCAGAGACTGTACGCCAACTGGGAGAATATGGTTTGCATAAGAAGGTTATCAAATCATCAATTTTTAAATTTTCTACTGCAACACAATATTGCCCTTTAAGAGTACCAAACTTTTTAATCTTAAAAACTGTACAGGAAGATAACAACTACTAAGTACCTTCACAGAGTAAAAGGATTAAGGATTTAAGCAACAATGACAGAATTGTTATTTTTCCCAAAGTATTGCTCCATAAATATGCATAAATACAAAAGTACATAAATCAGGAAACCAGACACTTTATTTATTAAAAATTTTATATGCTTTAGATAAAATGAATCAAGACTTAACCAGAAATTACATTAAATCCCCAAAACAGTAACAGACGAATGAAATTAAACCCACCAAAAATACATATATATCTACGTATACATTCATATACACATACGTACATATATATATATATTTGGGAGGTTAAGGAAGGTAGAAATGGTTACTGCATTTTTGCTGGGAAAAATTTGGGTAAAATAAGATCATCATACATTTGCAAATGTTAACACATTTCTTTTCCATCTTAAGTTGTCTTTACATTAATAGAAGTACAGCAATTTGAACACGACTCCCAGTACTGAGAAAGAAGACATAATTCTTGGTGCACACCACAGAGCTTGTTAAAGAAGGCTACTCTACCCCGTTTTTTGTCAGATACGCGACCTAAGGCACATAAGGATGTAAGTATTAAGGTGGCACTTCTACCAAGTATCAGCATACAATTACTCTAGAGATTATTATAATGCTAAAGATACAACGTGCTAGAGAAATTTCTGTAGTACTTCCAATATCTTTAAGCTGAAAAGCAGTTTCACTGAATTCCTCCCAGCATTTGGGGAGTAGTACCGACTTTATATACATTCTACAAGAAAAAAACTGTTTCATGGACTTTTAAGTGTTAGATAAAATCCAAACTCTATCATGTTAGCCCATGAGGGCCTACCACGATATTGCCCCTGCCTACGTCTTTGGCATCATCTACTTTCCTCACCTCCCTATCCCACTAAAACCCCCCAATTACATTTTGGCCAACTGTATGGTTCCTTACCAGCCTTAGAGTCACAGCTCAAGGGTTTGTACATCAGAACAGCATTTCCTGATTATCCTAAAGTAGCCTCAACCCCTTACATTTCTATCACATTATCCTATTTTCGTCTTTGCATTTATCACCATCTGAATTGACCTCATTTAATTATTATTATTATTATTATTATTTTTTGTCTCCGCCCTACCCCACTAGAATGTCAGCACCATGAGAGCAGGGACCTTGTTTGTTCTATCTACCACTACTCACCCAGTACCTAAAACAGTGCCTGGCAAAAGTAATCATTTGCTGAGTGAATGCTGAATAATGCATCTTCTGGGTTTTCTTCAACTGATATACATATCTTAAGCTTATATATCTTTTAATTGAACCCTGGTTTTAAACATAAGAAAAAAACCACCTCTAATCAAAAGCAATTTCAGGTGGCGGAAGAGTAAATTGGAAGAAGGTGGTCAAAAGGTACAAACTTCCAGTTAGAAGATAAATAGGCACTAGGGATGTAACAGACAGTGCAATGACTGTAGCTAACACTGCCGCCTGGTATATGGGAAAGCTGTTAGGAGGGTAAAAATATTCTCATCACAAGGAAGGTATTTTTTCCCATTTTTTAGTTCTTTTCTTTTTATTGTATCTATACGAGAAGATAGATGTTAGTGGAATTTCTTGCGGTGATCATTTCCAATATATGTAACTCAAACCATCATGCTGTGTGCCTTACACTTACACAGTGATGCATGTCAATGTCAATTACATCTCAATAAAGCTGCAAAAAAAAGAACAGTTGATACATATTATAGAAACACCTCCAACTGTCCTACAACTTAAGTATAAGTACTCAATTATCCTCCGATAACTGTTCATTAGTAGGAAAATAAGCACTGAACAAATTAATTCCACGAAGTTCCCCTAAATTAACCTCAGCAAAATTACACACTAATAATTCCTGTACCTCAATTTAATTTGTTTGAATTAATTGCAGAGATCACAGATTAACACTTTTTTTTATGTTTTTAAAATTTATTGTTGTTCAGTTACAGTTGTCCTCTTTCCCCACTGCTCACCCTGCCCTGTCCCCCCGACTCCCACAGTCCGTCCCCCACATTGTCTGTACCCACAGATCCTGTTAGTGTTCCTTCGCTTGCCCCGTAACTTCCTTTCCCCCGTGATCCCCCTGCCCCCTCCCCTCCGGTCACTGGCAGTCTGCTCTTTATTTCCATGTCTCTGGTTCTATTTGGCTCATTTGTTTGTTTTGTTGATTAGGTTCCACCTATAGGTGAGGTCATATGGTATATACTGTCTGGTTTATTGCACTTAGCATTCTTATACTGACCAAAACTGCAAGCAGTGATTAGACTTCTATTTTATTTGGCTTTAACAAAACTGTCTTGGATTTTGATCTTTTGAAAGCTATCTACTCCTATAAGTTAAACTGTTATTAATTCATAAGTTTACAGGACTGATATGGCACCTACCAGAGGATCTGATCTCTAGAGAGGTTAAAATGAAAGATTTCTTAGTAAAACCTCATTTAGTATATCTATATTTAGTATAGATATACTATAAAGGTATGTATAGATACATGTATCTATTTATCTATATCTATATCTATATAGAGAGAGAGATGGGTCATAGGATTCTCTTCCAGGACTGTCTAAGGTCCAGGTCCTTCCCCTAGCACCTCATCCAGGCTTTGGGGAAAAAACAATGGAAGCCAAGCATGTGCCTGCAGAAAACTAACACCAACTTAGCTAGACCTGAGATGGTCTCCATTCGTTACACCTTCTGGATTTGGGCTGCCCCAATATTAAAGCACAGTGCCTACTAAATCCCAGCTTCTCACTATCAGGCCATTTCTCTAACTCCTATCTAGTACAACCTCAGAAACACACTTCCTTTAAAAAGTGTGGTAGATCATTCAATTGCTAGGAATTCATACCACCTCCATTTGTGTTGGATATCAGAGAGGTGCTTGGACCCTCCTTACAGCACTGGGTTATAAGATTTGAGCTTTTAAATTTTAACAAGCATATACAACAAAAGACTAACTCAGTTTCACAAATCATTTGCACAAAAGTGATCTACACTCAAAGAAGAGAAAAAAACAACAGAAAACAACTCTTAAACAGCCGTCATATTCATCCATCCATTCCTATCAACACTGTCCCTTTGTCGGATTCTTATTTATGCTTTGACATTCTAATTGCCTCCTAACAACTCTCTCTCTGTGCTGAGTCTCTTTTCTCCAAACATTCTTCTGCCCTTTTACCACTTATCTTTTGTTAATTCCCCAGCCAAAACCCTTGGAAAGCACAACTCTAAGACATACAAAAAATAACATTTTAAATGTCTTTCCTCAAAGTTTTAAAGCCCAGATTTTTTAACCTGACATTCAAAGCTCATTAAGTATGACCCCAATTTACTTTTCCTGCATTCTATAACTGAAATGTTTCCATCGGTCACACCAGTGTTTCCATGCTCCCAGCAAATTCTGTCTTTGCGTATTAATTAGTTCATAGTATTGCCTAACATACAATGCTTTCCCAATTTTCCTCTATCTACATATGCAAATCTCTCCCAATTTTCAAAAATCAGCACAAGTTCTACCTCCTTCCTGAAACTTTCCTCTGCTATTGCAGGTACCAGTGCTCCCATGGTCACCTTATCTCGCTCCCTTCCCCCTCCAAGGACCGTAAGTGCAAACTCCTTGTTGCACTTACAGTGTATTCTCCGAACATCAATACCTCATATGTCATCCCTTCATACACATGATTCTTCTGTGAGATTAAAAAATCATCAAATATCGGAACTACATCAAATTCTTCTTTGGACTGCTTAAGATATCAATCAATATGCTGTTATACACAATATGTACTCAATAGTCTGAGTAAATTCATGACATCAAATACTACTTTACAGTGAAAAGGAACAAACCACTGATACATGCAACAACCTGGATGGATCTCGATCCTTTCAGCTAATCTCAAAAGGCCATACACTATATGATTCCATTTATAGGACATTCTAAAATGACAACATTGTAGAGTGGGAAAACAGATTAGCGCCTCCCTTGGGTAATGAACGATGGGGGGTAGGGAGTGGCTGGTGTGATTTTAAAGGGGAAGCGAGCACAAGGGAGATCTTCGTGGTGATGAAACAGATCTGCATCTTAAGTATGGTGGTGTTTAGACAAATATACACATGTAATGAATTGACGCAGAACTATACACTGACATTGTACCAATGTCAAATTCCTGGCTTTGATATTGTACTATAAATAAAATATAACCACTGGGGAAATGGGAAGGATACACAGCATTTCTCTGTACTGTCTTTGCAGCTTCCTTTGACTCTACCATTATTTTGAAATGAAAAGTAAAAAAAAAAAAAGAACAAAATTCAATTTCATATTTACTTACTAAATATGTACATTGTTTATCTAATTTTATTCGAGTTAAGGATATTCTATAATTACTGAGACAAAGTGAATTCCCCAAACCAATTTTTACAGCCTAAAAATATCTTAGAGCTAAGTGACTTTTAAACCCTATAAGCATAATAAATAGCAATGGTCTTTGGATATGGGGATTGGGAAGATGAGTGATGGTAGGGGACTTACATATTCAATCATCTACTTTTGCACCAAGCAAATCTTATCCACATCTGTATCTTTAAAAATTGTTTTTATGAAATGGAATATAAAAGGATTTTTATAAAATATAAGAAAGAATTATGATATAACCTTTCTTAAGCACTCGGTTACCATTAGCTTCCAAGTCTCTTGTATATCCTTTTTTATGTCCATTACATTCTTTTCCTCTTAGAGATGACTAACGTCCTAAATTTTGTGTCTACCATTTCTCTGCTATTCTTTTTACTTTGAATATGCTTGTAACTCTAAACAATATTTTCTTTAATTTTGCATGCTTTTGAACTGAATATAAATGGAACCTTACTGCATATATTTTTCTGTGAATTGTTTTTCCCCCCTACTAAACATTACGGTGCTATCCATGTTACTGTATACAACTAACTCATTTATATCCACTACTCTAGAATATTCCATATAAATATACCACAATTTATAAAACAGGTCAGTATCCAATGAATATAAAAAGTGGAAAAAAAGCATGTTTGATATTATAGATATATATATATATGTATAGACATATACAACACAAACATACACATACAATATATATCCTGTTTGATATAAAATATCAAATAAGAAAGAATACCTATTTGGTGATATTCCTCTACTTAAAATGGCTCTCGGTGACTTAATGTCTTCATACCAAACACCTTTGCTTGGACATAAGACTGGAATTGGTTTTCATATATGTTGACAATACCAATGCATGTGCCCATAAGAAGTATACAGTTGTTTTGGTTACTCCATTTTTGTCACGCAAGTATTATTTTTTCAATTAAGACACACACACACACACATACATACATACACACACACACACACACACAAACAAGTATTTTATAGTGTTCTTTTATTCTAAAAATTATAAACCAAAAAACATTAGTTGAAATCTAAAAATATTTATAGTCCCTTACTTATAGTATATGATTAAGTATTTCTAAAATACCTAATCACACTAGTAAGATACAAAGACAACACTGCTTAGCAAAAAATAAGGAACTGAAAGCAGAAACAAAAAAAAATGAAGAATTACATAAGAGAAAAATAAAAATGAAAAGTGTACATAGTTTGGAGGAATATAACTTTCAGAAAGCACAACTTACCTCTAATGTTGAAATTCCAACCTTTTCTGAAGACCTGTTCAGAAATAAAAGCAAGGTGGTGTTGAATAGTGCAGGTGAGAAGGGAAATACTTCTAAATACTTATTAAAGACAAGTCCACATTTTTAAAAACATGTATATATTCTGTGATTAAAATACTCTGTGCATACAGAAAATGTAGAAAACATAAAAAAAGTAGAGAAGTAAATTAAAGTGACTCATAATCTTACCATGTAGAAATCTGAGTATTTTTTGTCTTCCAAGATATATACAGGGTGGGTCAAAAGTAGGTTTACAGTTGTTCATATGGAAAATAATACAATAATAAATAAAAAAATAACAATAAACTGTGTTTTATGAACTCATAACTGTAAACCTACCTTCGCCCCTCCCTGTATATGACATAATATAATAAGCATCTTTGTAAAGAAAATTTTGTGCTTTTCCATGATAAATTTCTTTAAATTTCTCTAGAACCGCAGTCCAAAAGTTCAGCATTTTGAGAAACTTGCAAATTGCCTTCCAGAACAGTTTTACCAGTTTATTAATCCTGTTCTATGTGCATGTTTCTTTATATCCCTGCCAAAAATGAGTGTCATTTTTAGAATCTTACATTTTGAGTCCTGGCTGGTGTAGCTCAGTGGATTGAGTGCCGACCTGTGAACCAAAGCGTCCCTAGTTCAATTCCCAGTCAGGGCACATGCCTCGGTTGTGGGCCTATTCCCTGGTAAAATTTTACATTTTGATAGACAGAAGTATATCTTGTTTAATTTGATAAATAGTGTGGATTTTAAGTTTTTTTTAAAGATTTATTTATTTATTTATTTTCAGAGGGGAAAGAAGAGAGAAAGAGAAGGAGAGAAACATCAATGTGTGGTTGCCCTTGGCATGTGCCCCCCATTGGGGACCTGGCCTGCAACCCAGGCATGTGCCCTGACTGGGAATCAAACTGGCAACCCTTTGGTTTGCAGGCCTGTGCTCAATCCACTGAGCCACACCAGCCAGGGCTAAACGTTTTATATGCATTAGACATTTACAGTGCTTTTGAAAACAGTAACCCAGTTTTCTTTGCAGTTCATTTTTCTACTGGAGCAAAACTCTATTCTTAAACACAGACTATTCTAGACATAATAATTTTTAAAGTACGTTTCACCAATTATTATCACACACTCCCCACCACATTTTTCCTCAAATAGGAACAGTTTGATATCCACTACCAAGCATAAAGAGGAGGTGTACCCTTAGAGCTGCTTAATATAGTTTAGTGTTATACAGTAAGAAACACTTTTAAATAATTAATATTAATATGCTAGTCCTAATTTTGTTTTGTAAAATACCATGATCAGAAATGATACAGCTTTGTGTTGAAAGGCATCTTCAAGATCATCTAATCACTTAGCTTCTGTTGACAGATAAAAAATCTATAAAGTGCCGAGAGACTGACTTTCCCCAAAGTCACATATTTAGGGGCAGAACCAAGAAAAGCACTGAGTCTTACTACCATGCTATTCACATGCCAAACTTAGTAATCCATGTTTGGTAGAGGAATCCTTGACCTTTAATCAAAACATAAGTGACACCCTGGCTGATGCGGCTTAGTGGACTGAGTGCCGGCCTGCAAATCAAAGAGTCGCGGGTTTGATTCCCAGTCAGGGCACATATCTTGGTTGTGGGCTAGGTCCCGGGTAGGGGATGCATGAGAGGCAACAACACATTGTTGTTTCTCTCCCTCCTTCTCCCTCCCTTCCCCTCTTCCTGGAAATAAATAAATAAAAATCTTTAAAAAAAACATAGGCATGATTAAAACTACTGTTGCCATTTAACAGAAAATCAATCCCTTTATTCAACAAACATTTATGGAATACCTACTATGTGCCAGGGACTAGAGATATGAAGGTGAATAAGACACAATTCTAGTTTAGGGCATTTTTAAGGATTGTTTTTAAAAGGTAGCTGTATAAAATGGCACCTGCTCATTTAATTGCAGTGCCTGGACAATACAATTTCATATTAACAAAGGATAATTTCTGGAAATGAAAATTTTTATATCCCCAATTATTTGGTTTCTCTGGAAAACCTATACAACTATGTCACAAAATCATGTTTATAGAGATGATCAGAACCAACGGTATTTGAGTTTAAAAAAAGAATAATAATTCCACACAAAGCTTTTCTGCAATAATACAAGTGCAATGAAAACAAAACAAAAATAAGAAAAACAAAAACCTTGAAGGGGCTCAAATTTCCACATGGCATATGTTCTAAATGCCAACGGGGGGGGGGGACAAAACCCTCACCTGCCACAGAAGCGAAGAGATAAGAGGAAATCAGATTTTAAAAAATAACACAACAATTTAGGCTCCATATGAAGTAGAGAAGGGAAGAAAAAAATTTTGCCTTCCCCATGTCCCTCATTTTGAGAAATCTGACCAGGTTTTTAGATGTCTGTCCAAACAAACAAACAAAACAAAAAACAAAACAGGTAGTCACATGTATCTTTTGTATGGTTCCATAACGAGTACTTTCTGGCAGCTGATTCACAGGATCTAAGTTACTGACCAACTGTTGACACACGTAGGAATATTCCAGATTGGTTCTGGTGGGGCTTTACATATAGCTGTGTACAAACTACAAAGAGTAATTTATTACGTCCTTTTGAGAGACAATGGGGACAGAGTGACGAGAGTGTGGGTTTTCAAGCACATAAACTTTGCCTGAATATTGTTTCCACCATTTCCTCGATGTGTGATCTTGACCAAACTAAGTTTTCCAGGCCTCAGTCTCCTCCTCTGTAAAAGGGATTAAAACCACGTACTTCACAGGAATACTACAAGGATTAAGTGATACAGCACAGGAGGCACACGTAATAGGTGGTAGTTTCTTCAGCAGCTTTGAATTGCTCCATTGAAACTCAAATGGTGAACTTCACTAAGTTTGTCCAAGGCACTCTGGCAGTCTGTCAGCATTGGGAGCCTGAGATCAATTTCTGGAACACAGAAAATACATACTAAAGCCCGACAAGCTCCAGCCCACTTAACAGGGAACATGAAAAAAAGCCAGATTATATTGAGCTGGTGATTAACATGGGATCCTGCTTGCATTTGGTGATGCCATTAAACAAAAACTAATTACAAAAGACACTCATGTCGAAACACATTTTAAATGTTACAGAACTGTTAAGCATTTGGTAGGTAGTAAAACATTTCGGACTACTATAGCTTATTTCAGTCTAAATAAGCCAAAAATCATCTCTAACAGGGTAATCTGTAAAACCAGAATTCTTTTGTGATACATTCTTAAAAAGATTTTTATTTATTTATTTTTAGAGAGAGGGGGAGGGAGGGAGAAAGAGAGGGAAACACCCCTGTGTGGCTGCGTCTTGCACGCAGCCCAGGCATGTGCCGTGACTGGGAATCGAACCTGTATGTGACTCTGGTTCAGAGGCCAGCATTCAATCCACTGAGCCACACCAGCCAGAGCTGTGATATATTTTTGATCAATCTACAGAACATTAGCATCTAGTAAAAAGTAAAAACATCTTTATGCTATGCAAAGTTGGCGAAAATGATTGGTATTATGTGCAAAGATGGAAAAGAACATTTCACAGAAAGAAACAGTAAATTGTTATTTGGTATTTCCACAGGAAGCACTCCTAATAGGGGCCTTGTAATAATAAAGCAATGATCATCATTTATTAAGCAGGGTTCAAAAACCATGCTAAGACTTGACTTGATTTAGCTTTAGTCTTCCCAACTTTCCTATGAGATAGTTATATTACCTTCCCTATTTTACATAACAAAAAACTGAGGCAAGGGTCAGATTAGGTAACTTAAACTGTACTGGCAGTAAACAGTAGGGCCAAAATTTGACTTTAGGCAGTATGACTCTAGGGCTCCCTCTCTCCAGTACTTTGTAATATTGCCTCTTTTCTGGGTAAGGTCTTAAAAGATGATGGTTATGAAAATATTGTTACGTGCTACTATGAATGAGCACCAAAGTAAAGGTAATTAGTGCTGTTTCGTGGGTTGGACTAAACTGATTAAAAGTCAAAGGCAATGACTCCTGATCTGCCTTTAACAACTACAATTTATGCCTAATTGATTCGGCATCGCTAGAAAAATAGAATCATGAATATTCCATTTGTGCCATAAATAAAATTTCCAGAGATGAAACTTCTCTTTGAGTGCCAAACTTCTGAAAGTATTTTAATTATTTTTGAACTTCAAGTTTCAAAAGCAACTTGTAAATCAGTACATTACAGGCTAAACCTTGCTGTTCAGTCAACTTTTCCTTGAAAATACTTTCTTAAACAAAGGATATACAATTTCCCCTTTCTTACTGACTCAGGGTATTTATCACGCTCAAATACTACACTGTATTTTAATACTTTAGCAAACTCCAGGGACCCTAAGGTGCAAGGAATTTGTTTGCCTTCACACTACAGGACCCTAGGCTCCTATGCTCAGAAGGTCTGTTTTGTAGTTTTGCATCTCCTTCCTCTATTTATGGATACTTCTTACAACTGGCTTTGCTCCCCCCCCACCCCTGCCACTTCTAATTTTTGCTTTTGATCTGCATTAAGCTGGGAAACCAGGTTTTTAAAAATGGAGTCATGGCCCTGATCAGAGTTGCTCAGTGGGTTGGGCATTTTCCTGCAAAGTGAAAGGTTGCCAGTTCGGTTCCTGGTCTGGGCACAGGCCTCGGTTGGGGGCATACGAAAGGCAACCAATTGATGTTTCTTCCTTTCACACATCAATGTTTCCCTTCCTCTCTCCTTCCCTTCTCCTCGCTCTCAAATTAAATAAATAAAATCTTTAAAATAAAAGGAGTTGCGAAGGAGACTAGGCTATGGGTGGTGAACATACAATATGACATACAGATGATGTATTATAGAATTGTACACTTGAAACATATTTAATTAACCAATGTAACCCAATAGATTCATTAAAATTTTTAAAAATAAATGTTTTTCCTGCAAAATAAAAATCCCAAAAACAAAAATTAAAATGGAATTGTATGATAAAGAATCCAGAGAT